GGCTGGGTGGCTGGCTGGCTGGCTGGGTGGCTGGCTGGCTGGGTGCTGGGTGGCTGGCTGGCTGGCTGGCTGGCTGGCTGGCTGGCTGGCTGGCCACCTGGCTGGCCTGGTCCGATGTGATCTGATCTGATCTGATCTGATCTGACCTGATCTGATCTGATGGAACTCAGTGAGCACAGGTCCCGAATGGTCCCGAATCGATCCTGCAAGGAGCTCTGTCACAGTCTTGGAACCCCATGCCATGGAACCGGCCTGGTCCGATGTGAGCTGATCTGATCTGACCTGATCTGATCTGACGGAACTCAGTGAGCACAGGCAGAAAGAGAAGTTCAAGACCGATGATCGGTGCTCGATCTTGCAAGGGGCTATTGACTCTTGACTCTTAACTTTGAAGCCCATGCCATGGAACCGGGTAGTTTGATCTGATCTGTTCTGATCTGATCTGCTCTGACAGAACTCAGTGAGCACCGGTTTTGATCTGATGTGATCTGGTCTGATCTGCCCTGTCCGACCTCAGTGAGCACAGGCAGAAACAGAAGTTCAAGGTCGACCCTGCAAGGAGCTCTATTATCACTATCTGTGTTGCTGACCTGATCTGTCCTGATCTGATCTGATCTGACTCTGGCCGAACTCCGTGAGCGAGTCAGCACAGGCAGAAACAGAACTTCAAGATCGATCATCGATCCTGCAAGGAGCTCTGGCTCTGTCACAGTCTTGGAACCCCATGCCATGGAACCGGCCTGGTCCGATATGATTGGATCTGATCTGATCTGATCTGACCTGATCTGATCTGACGGAACTCAGTGAGCACAGGCAGAAAGAGAAGTTCAAGACCGATGATCGGTGCTCGATCTTGCAAGGGGCTATTGACTCTTAACTTTGAAGCCCATGCCATGGAACCGGGTAGTTTGATCTGATCTGTTCTGATCTGATCTATGCTGATCTAATCTGCTCTGACGGAACTCAGTGAGCACTGGTATTGATTTTGATCTGAGATGATCTGGTCTGGTGTGACTTGGCCGACCTCAGTGAGCACAGGTAGTAACAGAAGTTCAAGGTCGATCCTGCATATCTGTGCTTTAACTTTAACTTAATTATCCCACGCCATGGAAACGGTTTGGTCTGATGATCTGATCTGACGGAACTCAGGGAGCACAGCACAGGCAGAAGCAAAAGCAATCAAACAAGCACCCAAGACCAGGCCCAAGCCCAAGCCCAAGACCAAGAAGCTCAAGAATCCCAGGAAGCCCAAGCCCAGTGCAACCCAAGCCCAGTGCAGCCCAAGCCATGTTGAGCCCCAATTGAATATTTTCTCATGACAATGAGAATCATGAGTACGAAGACCGAACTCCAATTTCTGAGCACGTTCACTCAAGGAAAAATAAAACAAATACATAGGTAAACGATATAACTTAAACCAAAAGAGCAATCGCAACAAAAACTGTTATATGATATATGTTACGAGCAGAGATCTACGGGTTTAGGGGTTTATGGGGTTTAGGGTTTAGCGGTTTAGGGGTTTAGGGGGTCTAGGGGTTCGGGGTTAAGGGGTTTAGGGTACGGTATAGGGGTTTAGGGGTTAGCGGTTTAGGGGTTAGGGGTTTGGGGTTGAGGGTTTAAGGTTAAGGGTTCAGGGTTTAGAGGTTTAGGGGTTTATATTTTATATTAATTTATATTATGTATTAATACATAAATATAATTTATATATTTATAAATATTATAAATTTATACATTTATAAATTTATAATTTATAGTAACTATATATTTATATAATTATATAATATAATTTTTATAATTATATAATAATATAATGATATAATATTAATGATAATATATAATTAATTAATTAATAAATATTATAATGTATACTGTATACTGTATACTGTATACGCTACACGGCAATCAGCTCACGCTTACGTGCGCCCAAGGCTCCGTCCAGTGTTGTAGACGGCAGGCCGCTGCGGTCAGCCAAATCAGAATCATCATAACCAAGAAGGCATGCGACCACACCGACCTACGCGAGGCCTCTGCGAATGATCGTACTCACGATTTTTTTGCATCCTGGACATAAGTCATGGGTCTTCCAGCTGACTTCTGATATTACAGCTCGGAGAGTATCCACATGGCCGTCGGCTTCATTAGCCTCGCGAGCTATGGCCTCCAGCCGCATGTATGCCCACAGACTAAGAATCTTGCCAGAACGAAAACGCCGCAAATACTTGCGTGAGGGAGGTCGCGCCATTGGCAGCACTTAGCCTTGCGCTGCCCCAGACAGCACACGATGCTACTGCTACTTCATGTACAGTTACACAGTTACACAAATGTGCAAAACTGTAAAACTGATGAATCTATGAACCTCTGATCAAGCTCAGAATCAAATACACTCATTAGTGTTGTCAGAGTCATTACTATCACTACCTATTGCCTGTTGCCAAACATACCATCGCGGCTGACTGGCCTGAAACCCGCGGTCAAGGCTGTGTATGATTTCTGGAGTTAACGAAGCTCACAAGGTCACAGAATCTGCACTGCCAGCTACTGACGTTATCAGGCAACCATGTCATGTCATCATGTCACGCAACGCGACTTGATTGAAATAAACTTACACTGATTGGACTAGACTTGACTGGGACAGGACACGAGACTAGACTCGACCTGACCAGACTGACTAATTAGACTGAATTAAACTGGACTCAACTTACTGAGATTAGACAACTGTTGTGATTGTGTTAGACAGATTGGACTGGACTGACAAGACACGCTACAATTGACTGGAATACGGGACACTGACTGCAACTGCGCTGGCGCTACAGCGGGTCGGCAAGTGCAGTTGAGCTGCGCAGGTAAAGGTTCCGATGCATCACGATCGAAGCGAGCGCCAAGGTCCACATCCTTAGCGATGCGACGTAGCAGCTTAGCAGCACGGCCCTAGTTTGTGGCAACTGGCAACGGTGTCTTTCGATTCCCTGGACTGGCCAGCCTCTGGCACGTCTTCCCAGTCGTGGCCCGCATGATCCACATAATGGAAAACCTCGGCCATAGTCGCTGGCCTGTTGTACACAGACCGAAAAGTTGCCAACAATGTCCGGATTTGCTCCTTGGCTGTAGGTGACGCAGAATCGAAACATACCTAATTAGCCTTACATGATGGCTGGTCACTGCTCACTGATAACAACTATAATTGCGGCTTGCGAAACGTGAGCCATGGGTGCTCGTGAAAGGACATCTTGTCGCAGCAGCACAAAGTATAGTCTCGGACGTGACTGTGGAAGACCAAACTCAGAACTCCTGGGTTGCAAAGCGACATGACATAATGTATTGTAATTAATGAGACACCCGACCCGGTTTGCATGGACACAGGGCAGTGACAGTCACCGTCAACAGTCAACAGCTTCATTCAGCTTTGTGTCTGTAGGCTGTGGACCTCTGTCTTGTAACCTGGAATATGATTCAGGCCTATAAGCTCCTCTCGCCCGTCGATCTGGAGCACGCCGTTCATGATGTAGTCGAGAGGAGTCTGGCAACAGCAGTCACAAACAGCATAGGACTAGAGGACTCATAGGACTTAGAATTTAGGACTGAGGACTCATTCAGCATATCTACTGAGCGCGACTGATGGACTAGAACTTTAGAACATGCACTCTCACTCGCAAGAACAAAGGAATCTGAATCATTTCTGCATGCAGCACTTCCATCGCATCCCGTTGTGCAGCTCGCTGGAACAACTGAATTCACACTCAATCTACAGAGCACATCGCAAGAGCACTGGACCCTGCAATCTTATATCACTTGATATATAAGTATATAAGATATCAGATATCAATGAAGTATTAAGGATTTGGGACTGAATCAGGGTGCCCGGTGCCCAGTTAAGGTGCCTGCACGACCTACGGCCTATGGTACAGCCACAGCAACTGGCCCGCTGGATTCACTGGTCACATGGCCAGCCTGTACAAACTCTTTGAATCCTGCACTGCCGACCAAACTGGCCAAACCCTCCTTACAGTCTCATGCGTAGCTCATCCAGAGCTCTCTGACATGTCTGATTGTCCGCTGACGACATCGGTCGAGAAGAAATTGCATTCTCCAAAGTCCCTATGGAAACCGGCAGCTGATTGCCCGGGATTTGCGCTAGACAGCTCGGGTGAATAGATCGCGACGGCTTGTTCAATTTATACGAGTATTCCAGCCGAAGCGTTCCCTTTGCAAGTTTGCCGCGACAAAACAAACAGCTCACGTTCGGACGCTGAACCCAGCCGACGCTAAGGATTCCCAGTCGGGACTGGAAACCAGCGCCGGAACCACTCGCGGCCACCTTGAGCAATGTTTTGGGGATTCACTGAAATTACAGTCTACATGTTGATATTATACTTATGGGGTGTGAACTTATGGCTTGACAGTTTACATCTGGAATTTCAATATATTATTATTTATAATCTATACTTAGTATTAGTATATTGAAATTCCAGATGTAAATTGTCAAGCTACTTATATAATATATATATATATATATATATAATATAACTTATACTGTATACTTATAACTTATAACTTATAACTTATAACTTATAACTTATACTTATAACTTATAACTTTGGGTTTAAGGGGTTCAGGGGGTTTAGGGGTTTGGGGCTGTTTAGGATGGGGTTCGGGTTATTTGGGTAGGGATCCCCTCTAGGGTCCTGTTTACAGGGGTAGCGCCTTCTCAACGGGACCCGACCCAAACTGAACAGGCTGTCAAGGCTAGGCCCTGATGGCGCGGGCAATGGGTCGCGACTCCCACGCGGCGCAGCAGAAGGATCCGCAGCTCGCCCACCAGACCTGCTGCTGCGAGAGTCATCTTCCGCTGTCAGTTCCTGGTCGGCATCCATCCTGCGTTGAAGCTGCATGGCCAAATCCAGCTCGGCTTGCGCAGCTGGACTCAGCAGGCAGCTGCTCTCCAGCAGCTGAGCCTGCTCTTCTTTGTCCACCAATGGCCTTTGCACAGCTCAGAACTATACTTAAATTATAAAAAACAGATTGTAAATTCTAATTGAGGAATTCGGAACAATATAAGAGAGACGACTAGCCTCGCCCGAGCGGCTGTACCGGCGCTGTCTCCTCCGACGGTCCAGGTTGGGAATCTTTGTGTTTCTTGCCCGTGCTCTCGCTCGTGGTCTTGCGCGCTTTCGCTGCCCTCTCAGTCCTGCCGTTCTACAGAGAACCGTTGAAAGACTGGAGTGCAGGAAGCTAGGGGCTAGGGGCACACCGTATGCATACCAGTGCAAATGATCAGGACAATCAAATACAAGCTGGAGTTCGAGTCTTGTCCTGATAGGAACCAGTCCAAAGGGCAGACGACAACCGCCGGCAGGTGCCACTGCCACACGTCGCGGCCCGAGCCCGCCGTTTCCGCCCAATTCGTGCTCCAACAATGCCTCATCCTCGTCAGGTTGCAGAAACCGCATGTCCTCTGAATCATCCATCTCAGGTCCACCATAAAGGCGAACCTCGCGACTCTTCCATCATCCCTGAAACTTAGCAAAACCTAAACACACAAAGCCTTAACCCTAGACCCAAACACCCTCAACCCTAAACACCCAAACCCTAAGTCCAATATCCGAGCATCAAACCACAAACCCTGAACACCCAGAACCAGCCAAATTGGGTGCTTAGGGCGTGCGGTTTCGTGCTTGAGGTTTGCGGTTTGGGTTTCGGGACTTGGGGTGTTTTAAGTTTGTACATATTATCATACTTATACTGATTTATTTGTAATTTATAATTATAAGTTTATAATTAGCAGACTTTACTCCCTGAAACAGTAAAAACCAAAACCCACAAAGCCCAAAACCCTAAACAAAACCCCAAACCCCAGACCCAAACACCCCCAACTCTAAACACCCAAACCCTAAGTCCAATATCTGAGCATCAACCCACGAACCCTGAACGCACAGAATCAGCCAAATTGCTTGTTTAGGGCTTGCGGTTTCGTGCTTGAGGTTCGCGGCTTGGGTTTCGGGACTTGGGGTGTTTTAAGTTTGTACATTACATCTTACAAATTAAATTAAATTAAATTACTTATATTTATTGTATTTATTTTTCTTACTAATAATATGATATTAGTTACTATTATTACTAACTACTAACTACTAACTAACTACTAACTATTATTACTTATTGTTATTATTAATTAATTATTATTTATTATTACAGAATGCTTACTCTATCCTGCCACAGCCACAGTGCAGCGAAAGTCGTCCAGCGGTGTATCTCCACGAGAGGCTGCCTGTAGCATCCTGCGCATAACTCGATGCATTGTGCCCATGGCAAGGGAACCGTTCTGCATCGTCAGGTGCAAAAACCCCGCTGCAGAATGCAGATAGATAACGATGTGGCACTGAGGCCGTAGTGCCACTGTTGCAACAATCAGCCAAATCGACGTCTCGTCCTGGCCAGGTTTGAGCTCGACGAGGGTAGGGCTACCACCAAGTCGCTCAGCAATCAGTTGCTCATGAAATTGCTTCACGAAGCGCTGCATCAAATCAAAATGAGGATCGCACTGACAGGTACCGCCATGCAGCATACAGCATGGGCGAATGAACTTGGGTAGCTGAGGGTTCGGTACTATGGTCGGATCATACGAGAAAGCTTCATCATGCTGACGCTTGATACCTCGCATTGCAGTGGCATCTGGTACCGACATGACCAGAGTTGCCTTCAGAGCGGCCACGTGGTCAGACAGGCCCAAGCCTGCCTTCCACACCGGGTGCCCCGACACCTGACCCAAAGTCTGGTCCAGCCTGCAGCCATTCAATCGTTTTACCTGAGCGGTGCTCAGGACCCCAATCTCTGCAGCTTCTTCCGCGGCCGATGCGGTTTTCGACAACACCTTTGCTTTCAGCTCATCCCGCGCAGCTTGAATCTCGCGTGCCTGTTCCTCGTACCGCTCGCGGGCATCGGCCGGCAAATCGCGCCAGAGCTCCGCCAATTTCTTGGACTCCTGACGATTCTCCGCGCTGGCCAACCGGGATCGCTTGAAGAGGTGCCTTCGACCAACCAACCAACCACGACCCCACGCCATTGATTATTGAACAAACCAACTATATGACTATGACTAAACTATACTATAACTATGACTATTAACTATATACTATATACTATGACTATGACTATGACTATAAGTCATAGTTACATAATGTTAAATTAATTATCTGTCTGACTATAAAATATATCACTATATCGACTATACTATATCGTACATTTTCATAATTTACAGACTCGTTACAGTTGTACATACATTCCATAAAAAAAAACGTCGAGTCGAGTTGCTTGTTGGCCTTCTGAAAGGCATTGAAGCCACTGACTCTGCGAGTTTCCGGGCGAGTGCGGCGCACACCACCAGCTTTGACCGACCTGAGAAGTGCCCAGCATAGAAGTCATCATATTTAGATTTAATTTAGATCAGATTAATTTATACTAATTAATATAATTCAATCCCAATCCCGACTTCGACTCGCATCCTATTTGCTGCCTACGGACTGATTCTGTCTGATGGCACATCCCCCACCACACAACATAGCCTGCCTCTAGCCCTCTAGCCATGGGCCATGTCTCAGCCCCGGACAGCAAACCCTTCAAAAGGCCATCTCTGCCTTTCACTGTGCCGTCGGAGTTGAAGCCGGAGCGTCGCAAAGACAGGCCGTTCCCAGGTGCACTAGTCTCAACCTTTCGGGCTCGCATAGTCTTCTTGACACGATCCTGTTTGATGCCCAGCGTCTCAAGTTCGACCTGCTTCTTGGTGTGCTCATGTTCAAGAGATACGCAACAAATGTACGAGTCGCATTGTGCGTTCGATGGCCTTTTCGGCACAGCTTTGGAAGCATTCATGTCTACTTGAATGTTTGCGTGTGATCTTTCCACGTCGATACTGCTTAAAGGCAGCTGCCCCAGCACATCACGCAACACCATCTGGACGTGCGCCACTCGCTCAAGCTTGTGTTCATGCGACAGCGAAGGTCCAAGCGCCCAGTCCAGGAAGACCTGTCAAACCAATTCATCCCCACGAGCGGCAACCCTTTATGTCCAAACTTGACTACTACATGAGAAAACCGAAAACCCTTGTTGAAACGGATGCCTTGCTGAACAATGGATCACTGCATTCATGGCAATTGCTGTGCTGGCGGCATTGTGCTTCCATGGATGCCAGAGCTGAAGCTGCTGTGCTAGTGGACACACCCAGTAGCTGCCAGGGCTGACACATGTAAGGAAGCACCAAACGCCTGTAGCCGTCAGCCGCGCCAATCATAAGCAGCTCTACGCAGGAAGCTTTTCCAAGACCCAGATGGTTGTACCAGGTGACGTCGCTTGGCGGCGTTGTCAGCATTGCGCCAAATTCTGCCACAACCGCTCTGCCCGCCCTGCCCTGGATGACATCTACTTTAATGGACCGGGTTTTAGCTAATGACTTGGAAGGATTACAGAGGATGACAAGCTGGTAGTAACCTGTTAATAAGCTAGTTCTAAGCCAGTAGTAAACTGTTATAAGGGTGATACAAGGTTAGAGAAGTTATGTTATCTTATATAAAAGTTATATTTTTTATGGTGTTTATAGAAAAGTTTATATACGTTATGTAAGTGGTTAAGCATAAAAAATATAAGTCCTATAGTGGTTATAACCGTGATTGCATAACCACTTATCAAAGTATTATAAGTGTCATTTCCTTGCATGACGCTTTATGAATCTTTGAGTGCCAATGTGAAACAGAAGCAAGTTGCGAGTACGACATGCAGTGTTTTTCTGATGGACATTCCGGGATTCAAGTTTTAATTCCGCTTGCGAATTGCAGTCCATTTGGTTGCCGCATGAATTAACGGGCTCGAAGTCCAGGAAGCATGCACAGGTCATGGCGGCAGTGCATTAGCCATATATAGCCCCGGAGGCGTGCTCCGGGGACATGTGCAAGATTTAGCAGCAGCACAGGAGCAGCAGCAGCAGCAGAAAGCAAAAGTCACACACAGGCTGCAAGCCAAGAAGCATGTCAGCATCACTATTGGTAAGGGACGTCGCAGAGCACGTAAGTCTAGCGAAGCTAGCGGTTGGCGGCATGGAGGCAGGCACGCGTGCAGAAGTCGCGGCCTTGTTGGAGAGCTCTCAGGAGCTGGGGACCAAGGTGGAAAAAGTGGTGCAGGTGCTGACGAGCGCAGGTCTTGCGTACAAGCGAAGGGAGCCTGTGACGGCTATGCTTGTGCATCCAAAAAATCGCGGAGGGCTGATGGTGCAACCACACGATGCACATGCCAATGGCAGAGTCATGCTTGAGGCCGGGCTGCGGCGGGAGCTCCTGGAAGCTGGCAGCGTTTGCTTCGAGATGAGCAGCGATGCCGCGTTGCGCGAGTCGCAGTACGTGGCCAACGAGCGCGTAGTCGCGGCAGCAGAGGGAATGCTGGCGCCCGTGACCCGAACGGAACGGTTTCTGACCGTGGCGGGGTCGCACACAGCGGCTTTTTTGAAGGCGACGGTGACAGGCGCGCGTGCTGCGGACGGTAGCAGCCTGGGCGCCCTTGTGGCGGGGCGCGAGCCGGACCACCCGGTGAACGTGCTACTTCGCGACGGCTGGGAATGGTTGATCATTTCCTCTTCTGTTGAGGCGAGCTTTCCAGAGCTGGCGACTGCATTCCAGCAGTCGTACAACACGGCGCACGCTGCTGCGAAGGTTCTGAGTGAGGTGGAGTGCATGCAGACTTTTGCAAGTCTGTTCATGCAGAAGAGAGCACATGGCTGCTTGACCGAGGAAGAGCGCAAGGACGCTGCCATGGAGCAGCTCTTGCTGTCGAAGCCAGCGTGCGCGAAATACGCGGGTAGCTTGGCGCAGTACGTTTTGTTGTACGGCGGGGGAGAAGGTGAGCGGTTCCCGCTGGTTGAGTTTTTGGCTTGCTTTAGCAAGGTCTTCGGAGCATCTATGATGCTGGGGGAGGATTTCGTGCGCGCAGTGGTCGCGACAGAAGTGAAGGGGCAACTTCTGCCGATGTTGAGGTGCGCCTTGCTGGCATGCCAGCTTACGGCGCCGGTGCAGAAATGCAGGGATGGGTTTGCGCGACTTCTCTTGCCGAGCGACGCAGAGAAGCTACGCGGGGCGGCGCTCTCGCAGCGGGTGGCGGAGACCGAGGACTGTCTGGCGCGCGCTTGGCCGCTGTACCTGCAGGCGGCAGCCTTGGCGGAAAATGGGGAGCCTCTGAAGGCTATGGGCCGCTTGATGGTGCGAGCCGTGCTCATGCTACTGCAGAAGCAAAAGGCGGGAAGGGAGGCGCGTGTCTACGCGAACTTGGCGGAGCTGAGTGCGCTGTTCGCCAAGGAGCTGCAGGGCGAGGCTGTGCCTGCAGCGGCGGCGTCCGGGACCAAGCGCTCGAAGCAGCAGCCGGAGAGAGCTCTGAGCTTGAAGGAGTGCGCCGACCCGGCGGTCGTGGCACTGCAGGGGAACAAGCACCTGGTGCTGGGAGAGCGGTATACCAACAAGGACCACGCTGCACAAGTCTTCCGCTTGGTGAGCTTGGACGCTGCGGGCGCGGTCTTTCGCGGGCAGCGCTTGTTCGAGCCGGAGCTCGAGGTCCTGGAGGCCTTGCATGCAGGGGATATATAATATATATAGAATGGGTTGCACGCAGGAACTATATATAATATATACTTAAAGTACTTTGAAGTATATATATATATAGCCCTGCTCGCAGGACCTGCAGAAGCTGAAGAGCTGGAAGCGCACGCAAGCTGCGGAGTGTTTCCTTTGTGAGCCTGCAGTGGCTGCAGCTCTGCAGCCGCCGTGCGCCCTCAGCGGCGAAATCCGCCGACTGCGTGCCCAAACCTTGCTTTGGCAGCACTTTGAGCAGCATAGCTGCGGCACGGTGCTGTTTGCAGCCAATCCGTGCGCGATTTACGCGGATAAGACCTACAAGGCGAAGAAGCTGAAGCTCTGGCCTGGGGGCACACTTGCTGCTCTCAAAGAGGGGGAGGCCAAGGAAGGTGCAGTCTTGGTGCAGTTCGAGGGCGAGAGTTTCGCTGTGCAGCCTGTGCGTCCCACCGCAGACTTTGCGAAGGCAAGCGCCCTTGTGGCGTTCTGGTGGGCGTACAAGACGTCCGACGAAGGCAACTTGCAGCTGACGAGTGCGAAAATCGCAGGTCTGACCGTGCCGGTGCTGACGAATGAGCAGGAACTGTTGAAGCATGAGCTCCTGCAGCTGAAAGCTACCGACCAAGGCTCGCCGAAGAAGCGCGCCAAGAAGGCGGCGTGAGAAGTTGAAAAGGAGTGTATATATATATATATCACTGCGACCGTGCTATTTGCAAGCATCTGCAGCATGATTTGCTTGTGAGAAGTTTCATGATGCCTCGCCAAAAGCTCAAGTACTCGGCCTTCTCAAGGGCATGCCATGATGTCTTAAAAAAACACATGCCGCAAGGGATATGTGCAACATGGATCATGTCATGCAGTATATACATATCTATATATATATATATGGCAGGCAAGAGATATAAAGCATCCATCGCCTCGCCTATATATATATATATATATAGGGCGGTCATGGAAAGCATGCATATATAGCTATATATCACTTTATAATATATATATATATATATAAAGTATATATATATATATAGAGCTTTGGCCATGGAGGTGCGCTTGACGCAGGAGCTGTTTGTGGCGCGCGGAGAAGTGACGCGGAAAATCCCCAGCAACTTTTTGTGCATGGTGGACGGAGTGCAGTACATGCAGTTGCGGCCGACGTCGCCCTGGCTCTGCAACCTCGTCTGCGGGAAGTGCCCACGCGGCATGTCGCTGGCGAGCTCGTCGCAGCTGGAAGAGCTGAAGAAGCTGCGTGACGGCGCGCTTGAAGCCGCGTTGGGGGGTGCAGGTCCTGCAGAGAACTTGTTTGCAGAGCAGCGAGCGCCCAAGAGGCGGAGAGCACAGCAAAGTGCCGAGGAGGTGCGCGCGGTGACCGTTGATGTAGACGGCACCCAAGTGCGGATGTTGGCGCCGCCGCGGCGGGGCCTGCGCCCGGACCTGCATGTGGCGTGCGACGGCGCGCAGCTCGCCGCGGTGTTTGAGAGGCTGGCGCAAGACTGCGATGCCTGTGCTGGCTCGGAGTCCAGGGACTACAAGCGCACGGGGCGCTATGCGGCCCACGCGCAGGGACGCGGGCGCGGCACACGCGGGCGCCCGCGAGGGTCGCGCCGCCGCGGAGTGGCAGGGCGTGCGGCGCCCGGCGCGCCGGTCGCGAGACAGGTGCCCGCGGAGGAGGAGGAGGAGGAGGAGGAGGAGGAGGAGCAGGAGAGTGCAGATGAGGATGCAGAGGACGGAGAGCGCTGAATAGCGGCTTTTACAGTTTTGCGCAGGATCTGCGACCGAAGGAACCAAAATAAGGGAAGAGCCCAGTTGTTTGGCTGCTTTGCATATTTGTGCAGCAGAAGCATGGAATTTTGATTTGCAATGCATGGCAACGTGCTGAATTGTGACATCCGCGCCGCTCCTTCTCAAGCTGCAAGCACAGCAGCAAAGCACAGCAGCAAACACAGCAGCAAACACAGCACCAAACACAGCAGCAAACACAGCTCCAAGCACAGCAGCACACAGGGCGGCATGCATGCGGCCTTCCTCGCACTTGCACTCATGCAGCCAGGTCTAGGCACACGCACTTAAAGTAGGAGCCTTGTAGGCACATGCAGTCAAGAAAACTGTATGCACGCGCACGAAAGCGCCGTATAGGAGCCACTGTAGGCTGTAGGAAGAGTGTAGGAGGAGAGCCTTGGAGCCACTGTAGGCTGTAGGAGCCATGGTCAGCATGCCAAGGGAGGTGCTGCTGGAGATGGTTGCCGCCCTCGAGATGGCGCGGGACACGCGGGCTTTGAACGAAGCCGAAGAGCGCTTGGTCGCTGAGTTTCGCAAAAGCGAACAGGCGAGGGCACAAGCTGCCAAGGAAGCGGAGGACTGCATGGCATGTTTTCTGTTTAGTTTTATATTTTTTTTAAAGTTATATATATATATATATAGATATATACATATATATATATACAGATATAAATAGAAATATAAATATAGGCCCTGTACAAACCCGTTTATATGTACACCTTAGCTATCGTCCATGCAGGACGCTGCGACCAGCCCGGCCTCGGAGCCCGCAGCGGCTGAGGCTGCGCCCAGCATGGAGCCTGAGCAGAACCAGGAGGAGCCTTCAAAGGCTGCAGAGAAGGAGCCCGCGGAGGCTGCGTCGCCTGAGTTGCCGGACTACGAGGAACCGAGCCCGTCTCAGGAGAAGGAGCCGGCTCGGGCTGAGCATGTGCAGTCGGAGGACGAGCCTTCAAAGGCTGAGGAGGAGAAGAAGGAGGAGGAGGCGCCCGAAGAGGCGAAGAAGGACCGGCCGCCGGCAGACCCAAGGCCACGGCCGAAGGGCACAAAAAAGGCGAAGACCGAGGAGCGCAGTGTCGCTGAGGAAGCAGAGGATGAGCGCAGCAGACGCTTTCGGCGGGAGGAGGAGATGCGCTCGCTGCAGTTTCAGGCGCAGATGCAGGAGCACGCGGAGATGCTGAAGCAAATGAGGGCGCAAGAACAGGACGAAATCCGCAGACGCCGAGACTTCTTCGAACAGGAGCGCCGCGACAGGGAGCGCGAGGACGCTGACAACCAGCGCCGCTGGCGGGACGAGGAGGAGGAGGAGGAGCGCCAACGCAGGCGGGCGGAGCAAGAGCGCCGGGACAGGCGCGAGGCGCGAGGCTCCACGGAGACGGAGTCGGACCGGCGCCCGCAGAGGCGAGAGCGCGAGGACGATCGCGATCGCCGGCGCGATGACCGCGACAGGGATCGGCGGCGCGAGGAGCGCTACGAGCGCGCCCGCCGCGACGACCGTCCCCGGCGCGGCGACCGCGACAGAAGCAGTGCTGCTCGGGTCTTGCATGTGATTTTGTTTTATAGGATTATTATATATACTATACATATATTTACATATGTATATATTTGTTTTGGTTTTTCAGTTTCTTCTTAACTTTTTCTTAAATGCATCTCAGGACGAGGAGCGCCCGAAAGGCGGTGGAAAGGGGGGCCCACGAGGCCGCGGCCGAGGACGCGCGCCGATGGACGCGAACCGTGGGGGAGCGCAGTCCAAGGTGGCGCTGTTGATCCGCTGCGAAATGGATCAGGGGTGGTGTCGTGAGCTCGAGCAGCTGGCCCAGCAGTTCCAGGAGCAGCTGGACGAGAGGCGTGAGCGCATCGACGCTGGCTCGTGGGCGGATAAGCTCTTTATGCTTTGTCGCGCCGTGCTGCGGGAGCGCGATCGTCCGCGGTTTCGCGAGCTCGCGGACGACTACATGGGCGCAGCGAGCTTGCGGCAGGCCGTGAACAACCGGCGCTGGCAGGAGTGGCGCCGGTTGGGCTACGAGTAGGGCGCTGGACGCCGTGCACTCGGGCGCTAGACGCCGCAAGGAGCTCACCAGCAGCTGCGGGGCGCTTGACGCCGAGACCAGCTCAAAGCAGCTGCCAGCGGCGCACACATGCGGCTTGCCAAATATATATATATATATATATATATATATGGGTTAAACCTAATTAAAGTATATATACACATATATATATATATATATATATATACACATAACCTTATTTAGGGGCAGGGCTGCATGTGTGTGCCGCAAAGGCAGTACAGAACCGCGCCGGCTTCTTCCGCCGACAAAAACAAAGAGGGTTTCAGTGGTAGATTAAATAGATTGAATATATGTAACATGGTGCTTTAGGTTTTACCGCTAGGGTTTATATGTTATTACACCCTATAATAACAAATATTATCATTTTCAGTTTGAATCTTATGTGCGGGTTGCTGAATATAGTTTGGGATTCTGCATTTGGTTTCAAGGCACGGCATGCGGATGCTGTTGCTTTTGTGCAGAGATGGGATCGCCGCGCTCTGCTGGAATCAAGTGTCAGGGTAGCTGCAAAGCGACCATGTCCATGCATGCATGCCCTTCAGCACTCAGCACGCAGCAGCACGCACCCGCACGCACGCACTGCAGCAAGCACAGCAGCAAGCACAGCAGCAAACAGAGCAAGCACTATCCGCGAATAGGCAGACACGTAAGAGCACAGGAGCACTCTTAGCTGTGTCGCCGCCATGGTGAGCAGAGACGTGCTGTCGCGAATGGTGGCCGGGTTGGAGGAAGCGCGCGAGACGCGGACGTTGCTGGAAACGGAGGAGCGTTTCATCGCTGACTTTTTCCAAACTTCTCAAGAGGAGGGGGCACGAGCTGCCGTGAACGAGGAGGACTGCATTCTTTGGCATGTTTTCTGGTTTGGGCTAGTTTCGTTTTATGTTTTTGTTTGTGTATGACGTTTTAAACTTTATGTTATATAATCTATATAAAGTTCACAAATAATGCTCAATCCTAGAAACCCCTGCTATTTTGGCTTTGAAATACCTGGCCCTTCAAACGTCATACTTATTTCCTCTCGGCCAGGGTTTGCTATACTTATCCTGGAAAACGTAGGGTTTTATAAGATCGGGTACTTTTGTGTTAATCCGTGCGCTTTTCGATTTTAGGGCTCTTGCAGGGTCGCAATATCACTTGGAGAGTGTTGGGGACCTGACTACAGCACTTCTTGGCTCGATACCGAACATATACATGTATATGATCCTGTCGGCGACCGCAAAGTGCGCCCTCCCCCTGTGTGTGTGTGTGTGCATTCGTAGTGGTCGCCGTGTAGAGGTAGAAGTGGTTATAGTTCTCCTTGGGCGACCAACAGGTACGTTGCACCATGGGCTGCCATTTTTCGAGGATAATTACGAGAAGGACTGCAAGCCTTGCATCGACATGCTCTGATCTTGAACCTTGCAAGTTGCTTACATTTGACTGAATGCGATCAACACATATGTGTGCTCAAGGTGTCACTGGTTGAACCTTGAACTCAGCAGGATGCTTGTGCAGCTACACACGTATCTGTATGGCAGCAGCCTTGCTTAATTGAATCACTACTCAGCTCTAGGCATTCTCGATCGTTTTACATTCACATCGCCACTCCTCTCGATCTATTGGTCTGATCGATCTAGATCCGAGTGCTGAAAGCTAGTTGACCTGAATACCATGGCCGACCAAGCCGCGGAGCCTGAAGTGAAGCCCTGTGATGTGCTATCAGCATGGGAGAAGAGCAAAACTGTGATGAACCGTTTGATGCAGGGCTGTTTGGTGCATTTGCCCCCAGACACCAAGAAAATCAAGCGAGATCATCTTGCCGAGAACGTCGAGCTTCTCGGGCCACTGATAAAGAATGTGGGATTCTTGGCTAACTATATGTCATTGCACTGTTGTGCTTCAGACTCTGTACTGGGCTGTGTGTGACTCTTGTGATCGAAGGCCTGAGAATGTCCGTCCACGTGCTTGCGGAGTATTTCAAGCGGTTTTACCTTGGCTACAGACCTATGAATCTTCGCATGCCAACGAGCAGCCAACTTACATCCAGCCTATCAAGCAACATCTGTTACAGGGTTTCGGGAGTGTCGTTACATGTTGTGTGCCCACCCAAGGCCATGAAATCCAGGTTCAAGCATGGATGGCGAGACGTTTGATCACATGCTTTTCCCAGCTCGCGAAACGGCCACATGAGCCGCGACAAGAAGGGGTTCGCCGACTGTTCAAGTACTCCGGAATTCCCATCCCATCATCCCGCCACTTTGCTCGCAATATCAGGTCACAGTCGAGGTGATCCCTTGTGTGGAACATGAGCTGAGGTGGCTCAGCAGCCGCAGATGATGATGAGAATGACAGCGTGTCTGATGATGAAGCTGCTGAGTCCGAAGCTGAAATGGAAGATGATGCTGAGATTGAGGTAGAGGAGGAGCCTGTTACTGGTAATGCCTCGAGCTCCGCAAACCCTGTGCCTATGGAAGTCCCTCAGCGAGTTTGGTGGGTCCATGCATTTTTTCCTGTACCCTGTTTGTATATGTTGCCTGTGATTGTATGAGGTGGAGATGCCCGACAAGGGTGCCGAAGTGGAACCCTCGAGACCTACGGCCGAAGACTCTTGCTTGAAGCATATCTACACCCTGTGCCTATTGAAGGTGTGGACTAGTACTAGCTATCATCGCTAAGGCAATCACTGATGAGGTGGTGCCGACCACTGAAGCCACGAATCCTCCGAAGCCCGTTGTGTCTTTGGAACCATGCCTGCAAGTATCATCCATCCTGGTGCGCTTTTGCGGTCTTCAACTGAGTGTGATTATCAGTCTGGATGCATGATCACTGCCGAGGCTGGTTTAAGTCTCGACATGAATCCGCTACCGCCAGCCGTCACCAAGCCCCGTGACCTGCTTGAACTGATATTCGATCTTGATTTCGCGAATTTTTATAAGCCCTCAGCCCTAAACCCCCCTAGCTTGTTTAACCCCGAACCCTAAACGACTGCTTGCACAGGCTCCGCAGCATCGTCTTCATCTCCGGCGATCGTGACACCGCCTCCTCGCACCCAGGTGGCAATCGATAAGATAGCTCGTGCATGGGGTTTGATTCTGGGATGTGACCAGGGTATATTCCATTCGTTGCATCATGAACATTGATCGACCGTTGCAACCCAAACCCCATGCCTATATGTTTCTTCTAAGGTAAAGAACCGCTGAGCCCGAGAAGCCAGGCAAAGCAGCGCAGGGAGCATTATTTGGTACAGGATCGTGCCTATGGATACTTGTGTGTCCTTTGCGGAAACAATGCAAAGGAACCCGGGATTCTCAGAGCCAAGAAATGCTTCCCACTCCCGGATCTGAAGCCATTGGATGAGCACCTTGAAAAAGCTTCGAAGTCCAGCAAGGCCTCTGGCTCAGGATCTCCCCGCCCTAGCCCGACCGAAGCCTTATCAGAGGTGACCCCCAAGCAGGCTTCAATGATGGAGGAGTTAGCATTTTTGCAGAAGCAACAGGCTAAGTTGGAGGAGCTTTTGAAATTGCAGGAACTCGAGGATTTCGAAAGAGCTTTGCAGGAGGAAGAGGAGCAGCTACAGGCTGCTTTAAGAAGGTCTGAGTTGGAGGCTGAGGAAGCTGAGCTGAATCGCAAACGCAGTAGGCCAGCTGATGATACAATTTTTCATGCAGCAGAAGCTCCAGCATCAAACACCGCAAAGCCAACCGACTGCCAAGCCATCCCAGCATCCAGCTTTGAAGCAAGACTTGCTGCGGTTTCAGAGGCCCCTCCTGCAATCATGGAGCCAACCAAAGCAGAGCCTCATGAAGTCTTCTTTGACCCAAAGAATGAACTGGAAATGCCCCCCTCAGCAATCGTGGAGCCATCCCAAGCAGACCCTGATGTGGCCCCAAAGAATGAAGTGGAAGTGCCCCCCGCAGCAATCGTGAAGCCATCCCAAGCAGACCCTGATGAAGTCTCCGTGGCCCCAAAGAATGAAGTGGAAGTGCCTGGCCCAGCAATCGTGAAGCCATCCCAAGCAGAGCCCGATGAAGCCAAAGTGGTGCCACCCGTGATCAGCATGCCCAGCACTGGGATTTGCTTCTTAGTTGCAACTACATGTGTATGCATGTTGTAATTCTACAGCGATACGGGAGTTAGTTGAGAGCTTGATTGGACTGCGCCTTTGAGGCCCCGATCTCCTCGACACGGTGCCTGAGGAGCCACTGTTCTACGAGAAGCCTCCGGCAACTTTGGAAAACGAGTCTGAGGAGTTGTTGGGGACATGCAAGAGGCTCGAGGTACCTTTAGTGACAAAGGGTCCAGAGGCACCGCAGGCAGAGAGTGCAGAGGTTGTGCAGCCTACTAGTGTGTCGCTCAGAATCGAACCATTGTCTGATGCTGAAGAAGGGGAGGAAGAGCTCCCCGAAGATGATGTGTTGATCGATGTCAATTCAGAAGGGAAGCTGCAAAGTAAAAAGGCTCATGAGGGCCAGGAGGAGGATACAAAGCTCGCAAGCCCCAGCAAAGCCACTGTCTTTTACGACAGACACCTGCCTCCCTGCCCGATTGAAAGTGATCACAAGCCCGCAACACCCGCAGAGCAGAGACTGGCTGTGGGTGCTCGTGGAGATGGTCCTGGACGTGGTCGCGGCCGTGGACGCGGACGCAAAGGCTCGAAGGGCAGGGGCAGGGGTCGAAGCAGTGGAAAGGGCAAAGGCCGAGGTGGCCGAGGTCGGGCTTCGGACGAAGTGGATGAAGAAGAAGATGAGAGTGATTGCGAGGAAGAGACTGAGCCTCCGAGGGCTGGTTCTAAGGGGGGGCGGCCTAAGGCCAAGGCGGCCCCAAAGAGGTCGGCGAGCACGCCAAAGGCTAAGGCGGCACCCAAGAGCAAGCGCTCGAAGGACCCAGCACCCAAAGTGAATCCCCGTGGCCCCAGCAACAAACGCAAAGCCGAGGATGCAGCACCGAAAGCGAATCCCCCCAGTGGCCCCAGCAACAAACGCAGAGTGGAGGATGCAGCGCCAGAAGTGAATCCCCCCAGCCGCCCAGCGAACAAACGCAAAGCCGAGGATCCAGCACCGGAAGTGAATCCCCCCAGCCTCCCAGCCAACAAGGGCAGACGAAAGGATCCAGTGCCGAAAGCAGGTCCCAAAGCCAAAGCCAAGGTCAAAGCATCTGCAAAACGAGCTGCTAGCAAGCCGAACAACACCACAGATGATGCTGAGGCTGAAAAGAAGGCACAGAAGTCACGCAAGTCTGTGGCATATCATCGTGCTGTGAAGCAAGCCAAAGAAGATGGAATGACAGAGGAGGAATGCAAACAAGCAGGGAAGCAGGCTCCTAGTCTACATCAACAATATATAATTAATTATAGTGTGGGGGGAGTGGGGGCGGGGTGGGGTGGGGGGTGGGGTGATAAGCTTTATGCCTTATAATGCATTATAACCCGAAAGCCCAAGCCTATAGTATTATATACTATCACCATGCTATTGGCATCTGAGGCTTACGCGGAGACCGACTAGCCGACGTGTCCGGATTATGATCGCCTGGATTTTGATCGGCTCCCAGTGACCAGGTGTTCTTGGGTTTCAGTGTGCGAGGCAAGGTCCTCAAATCATGCTGATCATATGCGGGTGACTGACATCAGTCCCCTGGGGGCAGGTTTTTAATTCCTGCAAATGGGGTTTTCTGTTCCAGCGAAGATCCTCAGGATCATGAGCATCAGATCGAGTCCACACGAGCATCAATGAAAGGGCTGACTGCATTGCAACTTCATGACGTGTCCCTATGGCACTGTGCAAATGCCTCTGACAATCCTATGCACATGTGTCAGCAACTGCTTGGAAGGACCGATGAGTGAAGGCTGGGCAGTCCGAGCCTCCGTTGCTGGTGCACCACCTCCGCCACTGCAGAGCTGTTGTTGGTGTTGCCTGCAGCATTCTGATGGGTTGTACCGTTGTGCCTGTTGCCTTCTCTGGGACTTTGTTCGAGCCGGGAGCTAGCAGCAGCTAGCTGGGGTATTCGGTTTTGCCATGGAAAACTTTTCCGTGGTTGTGAACCTGGCCCAGCTGAATGCCCCAAAGGCCACTTAACTACTTATGCAGCTGTCCATGTGCACAACTACATACCATGAGATAGCTGTCTGCTGTTACATCTGAGGTGTTCATTGCCACGGTCAGATTCTCTGGCATTGCATTAGTCGTCGGTTTACTGTCTGCTATATGTGTGCCTCACCCAGGTGCTCTGCCTGAAGTGGATGAGCAATCTGGATTTTACAGAACGATATTCATTGTTCGAAGTGTTTTCTGGGGTCGGCCACGTGTCCCAGGTCTGGCTGCTGGCCTTACATAGACACGACAAGCTGTTGTGCCTGTAGCTCCCACATATGCATGCAATGTGACATGACTATAGTGAGGAGTGAGAACGGTCACAACGTCGCCTCGTATGATCGCCTCTACGGCCAGCCCATGGACTTCACATCGAATGCTGGCTTTGCGTTCCATGCATTGCAATATGTACGTGTGTACATGTGCGCCTGCTGTGCTCCTATGTCCTATACAGCTCGGAGCCTTCCTGACTGTGCTGCATGCATCGGGAATCTGAGGCTTGCTATGTATGTGATACTTTGTGAGCTCCCCGATGCTATGAACTTGATCGCCCCAGACTGTGGTTCATGGATAACAACAACCCGCGGCACCAGCCTACGCTCACCCATAAACCCTCAAGGCCGCCAATCACTACCATGGGTTGATGACAATAACTGCACAGTATCACGGAGGATTGGCTGCACTTCAGGATTTGAGACCTTAACATGATACCCGAAACCCTAAACCCTAAACCCCTAAACCCCAAACCTTAACTAGATGGATATGTACTATATAGTTATGCTAGATCTCCCCAAATGCCGATTCAAGGTGTGTGCTGTTGATTCTTCTGATCCTGTCGCGGCATGCTGCTTGGGTGCTGGAACAACCACAAGGATCTCTGCTACCACAACATGGTCGGTTCCAATGGTTATGCAACCGGGTTGCTAAAGAAACCTACCTGCAATTGGGATTGAAGGCTTGGTTTGTGCATGGATGATCGATCAGATACTGCAGCTGATAAGCAGCGAGGTCTACCGGCAATCTTTCTGGATGGGCCTACATGGTTGTTGCTCTCCCAAGCCAACGACTGTTTGTTCATCGATGCCTACGATTTCGCTGTTGGATAAGGGGGTGATGACCAAAGCCAAGAAAGCTGCTTTGCAAGGTCCTAAATTGGTCCGAGCCTAGGCTTTAATTACGTACACGTGTAGGGCTTCGTTGGCGGAGTGGGGTAGGGCTAAACCAAACATATAGCACACATTGTCCTGCTCCTCAAGTCCCGGTGTGGATCGACCCAGCAATAGTGAACACCGTGTCGCACATATGTATATACATATATATATATATGTATGTATATACATATGTGCGACACGGTGTTCACTATTGTATAGATTCCCTAAACCCAAAACCTTACGACACTCTCGATCTGTGTGAGTTGGTAGACCTCCATTAATGATCTATATATATCCTGCCTAGCTATTCTTAAAACTATATATGTTTCACGTATCTGTACGATCGTAGGTCCTCTCACTGCCAAACCCAACAACACTCGGAACCCCAGAAGTACAAGAGCCTGCTCTGAGGCAGGTACATTGACAAGGCCGGGAAGCATCGGTATGTGGGGAAAACAAAACTCCTCAAGGACTCCGGGACCCTTGGCTGTATGTAGTACAAACCTATATAATGGCTAGTCCTCCATCTAGGCCCCACACCATACGCCTCAGGATTTACACCCGGACCTTTGGTGAGAACTTGCTGTACGCCTTCGATCAATGGTGCAAGTTGCCTCCTGCCGATCGAGCAGATGTTCGAGGCCGCCGGCACGTAGATCTCGGCAGCAGTGATAAGGAGATATTTGCTGCTTTGGAAACGGATGATCTGTGGTTGGACGCCCGGGTCCACGAGACGTTCCTGTACTTGTATGGGTCGAAGAATTGCAAGTTGCTTTTTGGCATATAGCAAGGGAACCATGCTGCAGTGACTTTGACTAGTAGTCTTAAGTATTGCATGGTCTGAGGATACCCGACAGCTGGTGTGGTGTAATGGAGAACTTCAAAGATGAAGTCATGATGAAAGTGCCTGGCCTTTCAAATGGGTCATCTACTACTCTCCTGGGCTTTGCATGATCCGAGGCTTGCGGTGATGAGCGCCTTCGTTCTGAGCTGCAGCAGCTTTCTGAAGCTGCCCCCGGACCCTGTGTTGAACCGGCCCCAGCTGTGCACTGAGAGATGATCTTGGGGTCTGGTGTGCTACTAGGAGATTCGATCTAATTCAGGGTTAACATGTATTCGGGTTCTGAACTATAAAACCCCTGGAACCAAATCAAAAAGCTAGCTTGTTCCCAACTATAATTAGGTCCGACCCTAGTCGCAAAACCTCCGGGTCTCCACTAGATAGTTCACTGCTCCATTAGTGAGATCTTCGATCAGAGCCCTGGGCCATATCTACATAGGTTTGGGTCCAGTGCTGGGCCGGAAGAACCCTGGGATCCGCAGACCTCGCAAGCTGCGAGCACAGGCTTGTTTTGCAAGCCCCACAGAGGGCGATGCAGCTTAAAATAGGGTTTAGGTTTAGGGTGTAGGGTTTCGGGCTTTGTGTGGGGGGTTTAGTCACAGTAGCAGTTTGATAGTAGTAGTAGTAGTAGTAATAGTATATAGTAGTAGTAGTAGTAGTAGTAGTAGTAGTAGTAGTAGTAGTAGTAGTAGTAGTAGGAGTAGGAGTCGGAGTCGGAGTCGGAGTAGGAGTAGTAGTAGTAGTAGTAGTAGTAGTAGTAGTAGTAGTAGTGGTAGTAGTAGTAGTAGTGGTAGTGGTACTACTACTACTACTACTACTACTACTCCTACTCCGACTCCGACTCCGACTCCGACTCCGACTCCGACTCCTACTCCTACTACTACTACTACTACTACTACTACTACTACTACTACTACTGCTACTCCTGCTGCTGCTGCTGCTGCTGCTACGACTGCTACTGCTGCTACTACTACAACTCCTGCTGCTGCTGCTGCTACTACCACCACCACCACCACTACTACTACTACTACTGCTGCTACTAGTAGTAGTAGTAGTAGTAGTAGTAGTAGTAGTAGTAGTAGTAGTACTAGCAGTAGTACTAGTACTAGTAGTACTACTACTACTACTACTACTACTACTACTACTACTACTACTAGTACTACTACTACTACTACTACTACTACTACTACCAGTACTAGTACTAGTAGCAGTACTAGTACTAGTACTAGTACTAGTACTAGTAGTAGTAGTAGTAGTAGTAGTAGTAGTAGTAGTAGTAGTAGTAGTAGTAGTAGTAGTAGTAGTAGTAGTAGTAGAGTAGTATTTGGTACCAGCTGGTGATACTGGTGCTAATCAGCGCTAGTAGTCAGTCGTAGTAGCAGGGGTCGTGCAAATCGTCGTTGAAGCGGCCGTCGCCACTGCAGGTGAAGGACCCAAACACCATATACCCCAACATCTGAAGTTGTAGCCGATGCTTATAAGTAGGCACAGTCACATTGAAACTCCAATCCTGCACCGGTATTACTATAGCTACTGCTGCCGCCGCTGATACTACTACTGTTCTCACTACCACTACCACAACCCGTCACTGACAGTGCCTGTGCCATTGCCACTACCGCCACCTCTACCCTGAACCCTACAATATATATAAACCCTACAAACTCCAAAGCCCGAAAGACCTAAACCCTAGCTATAGGTTACTGATACCCCGACCATCGCAACGACTAATATATCCTGGCCTCAGCCTTGCACCCTTACTCGATCCCCGGCCAAGTGAGATCCGAGCCTGCACAAGCAGTGGTTCCATCGCTGAGCATGCAGCAGCCTGTGGTGAAGCCCAGAGTTTCTGACTTGAATAGGATTACGCCGGGTTTCGGGGATCGTTTGTGTTGTTCACCCACAACCAAGGTTTTAGTCGAAGCCCAGCCCTGTCACCAAACAAGCACAAACCGCAAGCCCGAGCACCAAGCCGGAAACCGCAACCCGCAACCGCAACCCCAGCCTGTCCCGGGCCCAGGGCCCAGCCAGTCAGACCCAAACCAGCCCGGAAGCATTTTCTTCAAGTTTAAAGGGCCGGGTGGTGATTTTGCCAAAATTGCTCGAACAGATTTACCCGCAATCCGAGCGCAAATACCCGCAACCCGTGCGCAAATCCCCGCAACCGTGCGCAAACCCAAAAACCTCTCGAATCGACCCCCACCAAACAGCCTTTCTGAACCCAGAACAGTTCTTGTTCAGCAGGGTCGGGCTCAGGGCTTCCGAAATTCGTGGCCTCAGGGCTAATTCGAGGACCTTGTGCAGCTTGGGTCTTCAGGCTCTGAGTTACATGCTCTCTATCACAACCAGAGAGGCAGTAATGGCTGGTGGCTTGTGCGAAAGAGAGCTGAGAGAGAGAGAAAGAGAAAGGGAAAGAGAGAGAGAGAGAGAGAGAGTAAGATGTAGGGAGAGGAAGAGAAGTGGTATATGACCGGCAAAGCTTACCTGCTTGCTGCTTGATGTTGCACTAGTGATCAAGTGCCCTAGGGATGAGTGTCCCTGTTCGTCAGTGGAGCTGTGCTACCCTCGAAGCGGGTGTGTCATTGCTTTCTACAAAAGCGATGGCTCATGATGCTGGTGACTTGCAAGCCAGGATCAAAGTACTTATGCCTGATCTCAGCACACTGTACAGTATATGTGCTATGTGCATAATGCCCCTCCCTAAACCCTACACCCTTCCCTAAACACCAAGCCCGGCTGAACCCTAAACCCATCCAAGGCAGCCCAGGAAAGGATCGGGGCACTCCAAGCCAGCCTCGCAAGCAAGAAGGCAGCAGCACGGAGCGAGTGCGGCAAGCCTGCAGGTGGGCTATCGGGTGGGGATGGGATCAAGGACCTTAGCTGGGATGTGTATGCACACAAACCCAAATGTAGTCCCAGCCTGGGACTACATTTGGGTTTGTGTGCATACACATTAGTTTTCAGATTTGCACATGTGGGGGCCAGACTAAAGAGTAAGCTATAACACGCACAGACATATATATTTATTATAAATATATAAAGATATATATATGTATATATATATGTATATATGTATATATGTGTGTGGATGTGTACATGTGCATGTATAGGTATAGGTTTGGATGTCCATGTATGTATGTGTATGTGTATGTATATGTATATGTATATGTGTATGTGTATATGTGTATATGTGTATATGTGTATATGTGTATATGTGTATATGTATATATGTATATATGTATATATGTATATATGTATATATGTGTATATGTATATATGTATATATGTATATATGTATATGTATATGTACATATGTATATATGTATATAGGTATATAGGTATATAGGTATATAGGCTTATATGTATATATGTATATATGTATATATGTATATATGTATATATGTATATAAGTATATGTATATGTATGTGTAATTATGTGTATGTGTGTTTGAGTTTCGATACATGCAGCTTATGTCTGTATTGAGGTATCTGTATGTATACTTATGTATGTATGTATGTATGTACCATCTATAGGGTTTATGTACATGTATGTTTGCACGTGTGACGTATGTGTGTATGTATATGGATATGGTATATGTATATACTATACATATATACATATGTATATATATATATATACATATACAGTCTCAACCTGATTATACATGTGTGTGTCCACATGGTGTGCATATGTGTGTATATCTGTAAATGCATACCTAGCTACATGCCTACATGTATACGTATGTACATGCATACACACCTTGCATGATGAGGTCTGACCTTTGAAAGGAAGACTTCGTCTTTTCAGCTGGCTGGGAATCTCAACGTGCCCCTGTCTGCTGGCAAGATCGCTAGGAGGGAGACGGAGCTGAGCATGGAAAGCTATGACAGCGCAGTCGAAGATGCTCAGAATCCCAATCCAAAACTGGATGAGTTGCTGAACATGCCGGTTGCAAACTCTATGCCCCCGCCCAAGAAAAGCCCCAAGCGACCTTTGCAAGGTGTGGACGGTGTGGCTCACTCCCCGAGCCCGAAGAAGCCTGCCTTAGCAGTTCCTGCAGAAGTCAAGCCCACAGCAACCCCTCCTCCCAAGGGTTCCCAGAGTTCCCAGAGCCCCGGCCCAAGTCTCAGCGAGAGATCCACGCCGGCCCCTGCCCCGAAGCCTGGCAAACGTGGCAAAAGCCCCACTTACTGGAGGCCAGATTTGGATCAAGCCTTCTGTTCTGTATGCTCGGTGATCTAGATTCTAGATTGCCCCGGGTATCGAATGCCAGCTGTTGCAGGCTACGCAGGTACTTTGAACCCAAAGCCTGCGGAGCTTTGAAGTGTTCGCCTGATGCTCTCAATCTTTACAAGTCGGAGAGTGGAAGTAGCTTTCCTGCATGCTCGATCAAGTTGAGTCCGATGTTTTGTATATGTGACCATAGCTGCAATTGAGGAGAGCAGCTACGGGACATGTTGAAGACACACGGAAGTTTCTCTGCAATGGAGATGCAGCTGAAGAAGACTCACTTGAAGAAGAAGCAGTTGAAGCGGGCTGGTGGTTGGTATACGAAGACGTACCTTGCCAATGTCGCCCATTGGACAAAGCCCCGTGGCAGTTCTTGAAGCTGGGTCTACCTCTCCATGCAGATGTGTATACATGTTCGTACACTTATAAGACTGCAGACTGATACACAAGGTCCATGATAGAGGCGGCATGGAAGTGGGCGGCGAAGACCAACAACTTAAGGAAAAATGAGATACATGGCGAGGAGGAGGCTCGACTATGCTTGACGGATGAGTTTCAGTTGTTGGACGAGGAAGGACAAGAGATCTCCATTCAGGGATCCCTCGAGCTGGACGATGCTCGCATGCAATAATATGTGTATGTACACACACATGTGTATGAATCTAGCTTAATATTTCCAGTAGCTACATATACATATATATATGTATATATATATATATATATGTATTAATATGTACACACATACAGCTATATAGTATATTTGTTGTGTGGGCTGTTATCATCCTTGTCTCTGCTGCCTGCTGTACCACCACACACTGGGGAAGCCGCATACATACACATATGTATGCTAACTAGGTAGTGCCGGTCCTGAAATACAACACATTACAAAGGCTCTTATTGGGGGTTTTCTTTGTGATACTGGGGCAGGATGTCTTGTTCCTAAGCTTGTGGGGCTTTAGGCCTTGTGCATGGAACCGGCAAGCTCTCTCTAACCCCAATTATTTAATAGAGTGACCTCCCCCCCCGATGCCTTTCTACGCCCTTTATAAGATCTGAAGCCTAGGCTTTGGACCAAATTCCCGAGCTTCGATACCTGTACTGTCTCTGTTGTAGGCTATGTGATAGGCTAATATTAATATAGAAATCGCACCCCAAAAACTCTTGCTATAGAACCCCCCGATAGGACCTTGAGTATTCTAAGATCGAGCCCCAAAACCCTGCCACAATGAACCCCAAAGCCTTAAGTTTCAATCTGCTCAGGATGACAACAGTGGGTTTTTGTTTGCCAACGACCTGCCGAGCATTGATGCCTCGGCAGAAGATCTTGTCGCGGGCAAAGCCACGGCTGCTGCCTCTTCCTCCTCGACAAAAGCCCCGGAGTCTTTCAGTGCTTCCGCCAGTTTCAAGAGCCCTGCCTATTGAATCCTATGCCGATTGATTCATGTGGTTAACTGTTCTCATAAAGATCTACTCGGCTTGCGCCACTCAGGATCACATTTCCATCGTTGCAAGCCAACACGAGCCCCTTGCAGATACTCCCGGGCTACATCGATGTATTGGGCCGGAAAGTCGACAATTGCACTGATGTTCTGGAGCGCTCTTATAATTGTGAATCATAAAAAGGTTTTGGGATCTTCGACTGGAGTTTGCAAGATATGCTGGGATTCTATAGGGTTACGGGCTGGGGCTGTGTAGTTAAGCGGTTTTTGCAGGAGCGGTTGGAGCAGCTGGTTCCTACGGCAGGAGCACGTGCAGCTGGGTCTCCTGCATCCAATATGATCGTAGCATAGTCCTACTCCTACTCCTAATATTCTACTACTAGTACTACCACCTACCATGCACCCCTACCACTTCCACTACCTCCACCACAAGCATGGCCATGTCCACGACCACTACCACTACTGCTAATACTTCGTCTACTGCTGCATTAGTACTACTACTGCTGCTACTACGACGACTGCTAGTACTCTGCTACTACTACTGCCACTTCTTCTTCAACTGTGACTGCTACTGCAACTGCTACTGCTACCGCTGCTGCTGTTCTACTACAACTACTACTACTACTACTCCTCCTCCTCCTCCTCCTGCTGCTGCTGCTGCTGTACTACTACAACAACTACTACTACTACTACTACTACTGCTGCTACTACTACTACTACTACTACTACTACTACTACTATTACTTCTAGTGTGACTGCTACCGCTACTACCACTACTGCTGCTGCTGCTGCTACCTACTACTTCTAATATATACTTCTAAATTGTAAAACCGTTGTCGTCATGTTATCCTACTATGTATTCCATGCAATATACCATCGTCACTCTTGGGCTCTGCACCCCCCCGAAACTAATGCACGCACCATGCACGTAAGTGGCTGTGATAAGTCGCTATACATGTGTCCTGCCCTGTTCCTCCAAGAGTAGATACGTACTGCAATATAATTGCATTCCTCCACTCTGAACCTGCACCCCAAACATTGTGATACTCAGGCTTCGAGAGAATGTGGCTGAAGCACTGCGAGATCTGAAGGGCTTCTTCAAGCAGCTGACTACGAAGCAAGCTGATGCTGTTAGCTGCCACCCTGACAAGCCTTAGCCCGAGCTGAGACTGTGGACATAGCTGGTGCACGTATGTCTCGGTATGTCCAAATCCCAGGGCTTTCAACGACAGCCTACTCAAGTTATTTGCCGACATCACCAAGTGTGACCTGGTGGTTAACAACCTGGTACTTCGAGCAAAGTATCATGGCTTATAACAAGTGCAGCAGCTAGTAAGTGGCTAGTAGTGCACATGTCACATGTACATATGAAAAGCCGAGGTCGGTTAAGCCGCCATCGTCGGCGAGATCAACGGCTCCCTCGAAGCCGGGCAAGAAAGGGAAGCCCGCAAAGGCGAAGGCCAAGCCGGCCAAGGGTGGTGCCAAGAAGGCTGTGAGTGTCTAGCTAGCTGATGTGCTGGCTGTGCTCGATCTTCGATCATGAGTGCAAGCAACTGCTGAAGTGCGATCAGCACCCTAGGAGTTTGTGTGTTTGAGGCCCGCCGGGCAACGAGTGTGCAGTGTGATGGTAACTTGCATGTTCAATGTAGGCTACCATCGGTGCCAATGTGATGCAGTAGCTGTGCATTCGTTGTTGTGCTTTTGGCCTTATCTTGCCTCGCAGGCTTAAATTAAGCTAGTTTCAGCTGTGTGGATCTGCAGTGCAGCGCGACCGGGGTGGCAAAGCTGTGCTCAAAAGACCAATACGCTGGAGACATTGTGTGCTGATGTTCAAGTGCACTTCCTACGCCGCCTACTTGAGCTGTTGGGGTTCCCAATCCGCAGGTCTACTGGCCAGAGGAACAGAACCGGTTCAGCCGGAAGGACAGTGCACGCATATTGCCCGTCCTATCCTGTGTGTGTGTGTGTGTGTTCTACATACCTCACGAACCTTAGCCCTTAAGCCTTGAACTACCCACCTTATTAAGACCCTAAGCCTAGGCCTAGTCTAAAGACCCTAATATATACAACGTTGTTGTCCCCCAGCCCTTTCACCCAAACCCTCAGCCATTGAGTGTGAACCTAGCCAAATCAAACCCGGTGCTATATATACCATTTCTCTCCAACCCCCACGACTACCCGGCAAAAAGTACCTACAACCTGCAACTCTCAACTATGAAAGCCAACCCCCAAGCACTAAGCACCCTTGCTCAAATACACAGATCTCGATCCTGCAGGATCTGACACGGGCAGCTCCGACGATGACCTCGCCGACGAGTTGTTCCGTGGTTTTGAGCAAGGGGTGACTTGCTTGATTATTTGGATTATGCTGCTAGAGTGGGGTTCTCTAGATGTCGGGGGTTTGAGAATGGCTGACCATATGCTAACCAAGGCAGAGAGTGCTGACAGAGTTGTGCGGGTGGCACGGGTTGCTTCGAAAAGACTTCGCAAGCAAGGTCTCTTGATTGCATGTATGACTATCTGTTGGTGGTCTGTCTATGCCTGTATGTTTAGGTCAGTACTGATGTGAGATCAGCTAAGGTGTTGCTGACCCTGTGCTGAGTCGGATCGCAGCTTGTGGAAATGGTGCCAAACAGAAGAATGCTAGCCGCAACTTGCACAACCTCATTGTTCAACAAGGACGCAGCCTACGTGTTCCTGTTACATATATCAAGACACCTGTTCGACTAGTCCGTGGTGGGAGACCCAAGCTTACAGATATCGATTTTCCAGTTTTGCTTCCATCAAGCTGGTTACGATTGATGCTTACTTCTTGCCCAGAAGTAATCTTGGGTGGACACTCCATCGAAGAAGTTGATGATTGGGGCAACATGTTCGCAAACTTTTGGCACCACTTCAACCAGTCGATGCCGGGGGTTCAGATGAATGGTGCAAGCCCAGAAGTCAACATACCTGTATGCATACATGGTGACGAAGGACGAGGCAAAACCCGCAAACCCGTTATGGTCATTGCCTGGCAAGCTCTCATAGGTTCCTTTGGACCCCTAGTCACCAACCTTTCGGGGATCCTTGGCTATATGGCTGTGTGTACTAGCTAGGATATGATATGATATATATATATATACATACAAAGATAGATAGATTATATAAATGTGTTTCAGTTTACTTTGTCTTGGTTTTCGGGTGGGTTTTAGTAAACCCTTCACATGACCCAAACCCATACTCCTAACTTCCTATTTCATCGAAGGCATAGCATGATGAGTCGATTCCTGTTTACCTGTGTGCCAAGTGAGATGTATGCTGCCAGCAAGACATTGGACTGCCTCCTCCAAGCATTGGCCGACGATCTAGAAGATCTCTACCGCAACGGTCTGACAGTTGCTAGCCTAAAATACGCATATATGATTCAATCAGTACTATAAGGCCGGCCCAAGTTTTCAACTATATGTGTACATGACATAGACCCTAGACCCCAGCCCCAGGTTGTGTAAATCAATGTTTCATTTGACTTTGTAACCTGATTCCTTATTCCGGAGATCTATGCTTAGAGGTGATGTTCAATGGGCAGCAGAAGCAGTTCCACTTGATCACTACCGCTATCAAAGGGGACTGGCCGTGGCTGCGGTCTTCGATGCATTTGGCCACAGGATTTACTTCCACTCGCAAGTGCCATATCTGTAGGTCCGAAGACACTCATACTCATTATAAGTTTTGGTTTATTCATACTGTGGGGTTAGCTAGTTAAAGTTTCGTGGCCTAACCGATCAATTAGGATTGGTATGATCTCTCCAAGAATGGCCAAGTGCGACAGCTTTGCAGGAATGACCCGGCTCCGAGCCCGTACAAGCCGACAGTATCCCCTCTGCGATCATTGTCGTCAATTGGATCGAACCCTTTGTGCATACACCCGGACCCTGCGCATACGTATGCCATCAATGGTTGGGGGAAGGATCTAGCAGCTGGGGCACTGTTGTGTCTCATCCACCTCAGAATTTTTTGGGATAGAACTCTGGAGAGATCCCTGAATTTGGCTTATGAGCACTTTCGTGAATTCTGCCAAGCCGCTGGAAAGAGCACATCGATTATGCGTTTTGACCTCAAGGAGCTCAAGACCGACAAATCGTCACATGGATGTAGATTCGCATTTTATAATATTGTCTGTTTAGTGTGGATTGTGGTGATAATAGCATATTCCTGTTTAAGCAGGCTGAAAAAATTTCCAAGTGGCCTGGGCAAGGGCCACGATTGTGCCGTGATGCTGGCTTGGCTAGAGGATGTCACTTCAAACACAAGGGCAAATGCAGTGGCTTCTTGTTGGTGTTGATGTAGCTGTATGGGAGGTTGTGCATTCTTATAAGGTTCGTTCCTATTAAATATTACTAGCTTGGAATCTCAACCCTATATACCCATAAGCCCTATACATATAGCTTTTGTTGCAATCTATACATTATATGTTTCCTTGTAATGTAACAGGCAACCCATGCATCCTAGGAAGGCCAAGACGACCTTGGGCTTCTGAAGCTGCTTGCTTGGACATTGCGGGCCTGTGGCTTTTACTTCCGTACCCTGTACGGTTCAGGAGTTTTCCTCGAGCCTCCCCAAGCACAGTTGGCAATGGAAAGTGGGTGGAAGATGCTGGACCCTGGGTTATAAATAGCTCATTGGTTCCATCCCTATATAATCCCTTAAATATATATGCAAGGGTCTTATGGTAGAAGCCAGAAAGTTGGAACATTAGTATCCTCATGCCCCTAAAGTAAAGTATACGGGATCCTAGCACAAATCCTCCTAAATCCATGTTCCAACTTTCTGGCTTCTACTGTACTACACGACGGTTGTTTGTACCCCTGCTGCCTTAGAGGAAGGCTACGACCTCTTGGCCCACAAAGCCATGGAGAGACAATGGTGTCTTTTTAAGTTGAGGCCCAAGTTGCACATGCAAGCACATCTGGTGAGCCTTCGGATGCAAGTGGTATGGATCGTTTTACTTCTAGGTATGCCCCAAACACCACCTTGGATGATCGAATCAAACCTCTATTGCTTGTGGGGTCCCAGATTGGAAATTCAATGGGCGCTGGAGGACCACTGCTCAAAAATCCACAATACAATGAGCACCCTGCCTTAATTTGGTCTTAGCTAGATATTCATAAAGCTTAGCCTATATTCATTCAGAACCATTAACAAACCCTAGAGTCCTAGAGGCTGGTCTTGCTGGAGCGATGAGGATTATATCGGCAGAATTTGTCGGATAACGAGGCGGTGCCATCCCTTCAAACTTGTAAGCAGGACGATCTCGAAGGCACTTGTCCATTACAAACGTCAATTTGGACGTTTCTTGCGCTAAGCGCCCGGCCGATGTGGATCCGATGTTCGCTCGAAGAAAAGGTAGATGTGCATGCGCTGTATTGGATGTGGAGGCTTCATGTGGGTATGAACATATCGGGATTGGTTGCTTGCCTAGCGAAGTTCGAGATAATGCTAACTTAAACCCATCACCAGTCCAAACCAAGATCAGCTCGAACACTTTTGTTCGAATCCGTGCGCTTTTCCAAATCCGTGTAGATCTCATGTAAATCGTGTATTTAATTTCCGTCATAGAAATAAACATTACGAAAGAAGGCCTAGGTAACATATATGGATGCAGGAGCCGGCGGCACGGGCGTCTGACGAGCCCGTCGAGGCTGCGAAGGAGGAGCCCGAAGAGGCTGAGGACGAGCCGACAGAGGAGCCGGCCGAAGCTGTTGCTGCGGAGGAGCGCATGGGCGCTGTGAGGGAGACGGTGGAGGAGCGCCTGCGAAGACGCTTTCAAATGGAGATGGAGCAACGGAGCGAGCAGTTTGAGAGGCAGCTGCAGGAGCACTTTGAGCTGCTGAACACATTGCGCGCCCAGGAGGAGGCGGACATGGAGCATCGGCGAGAGCTCTTCGAGGAGGAGATGGCGGAAAGAGAGCGCGAGTGGCTGGAATGCCGACGCCGCTGGGAGGAGGAGGAACGAGAGTGGCAACGCCGCTGGGAGGAGGAGGAACGCGAGTGGCAGCGCCGAAACCGGCGGGCAGAGGAGGAGCGCCGTGACCGGCGGGAGGCATGGGGATCCGGCGACGACCGGCCCCGGCGCGACGCGCGCGATGAGGATCGCGATGGTCCAAGGCGCGACAGACGCGAGGAGTGGCGGACTGATTTCCGGCGCGACTACCGCGAGGATCGCCGGCGCGAGGATCGCGGCTACAGCAGTGCAACCAAAGCTTTTCTTTGTATTTTTGTTTATTTTTATTTAAAGTAAGGTAACTGTGAAAAGCGTTTCCTTTGTTATACAACGATTAAGGTTTGGAGTATATGGGTTTCGGGTTGATATATAGATAATGTTAATGTAAATCTAGGGTTGTATATGATTTTTTGGAGCCGCTCAGGCATCCTCGGACTGGCGCCGTGAAGGCGGTCGTACGGGAGGCGCCCGTGGCGGCGGAGCTTCGTGGACGGACTCCAATCGAGGAGGAGCCCTGCAGGATCAGGTGAGCATGCTGATCCATGTTCACGAAGAGAGCGGCTGGGGACCCTCGCTGTGGAACGCGGCGCACAGGATGCAGCGGTCTTTGGAGGAGCGCGAAGACGCTGTGTGGCTGGAGCCATGGGGTGACGAGCTTGAAGAGCTGCTGGATGCACTCAATCGCCAGGGGGATGAGACAGCCTTCCTACGGCTGAAGGAGAGGTTTATGTGCGCAGACAGCTTGCGACAGAAGGTGCAGGTTCTTGCACAGCAGTCTTGGCGCCGGAGCGGACGTCGTTAGGGCGCTGGTCGCCGTGGCCTATACGCCGCTTGGCCTGTGGGCGCTTGACGCCGGTAGCAGCCATAGGCGCACAAGTGCGGCTTGCCTACATAAAGGTGTTATATATAAACTTTATATAGGTATAGAGGAATATATTATATATGGGTACTAAAATACCTTAGCTTAAAGGCAACGGCTGCAATTGTGTGCCGCTAGGGCAGTACAGAAAGTCGTGTGCTTCTTCCGACGAGCAAAAAGAGAAGTGCATCTTTCTGCAATAGATTGAATAGATTGAATAGATTGAGAAAACTTATAGAAGCATAATTATATAAGTTGTTGAATTACAACGATATTAATTGCTATACTATGTGTACATAGCTTCTAAGTTATGTTATGGTTTTAAAACCCTTTAAACCCTCACTTCAGTCAACCCTGAAACCCTAAAAAAAAACCCAAGCCTTGCAACCCCAAAACCCCATACCTTTGAAACCCACCCAAACCATACAACACCTGAACACTATATATTGTAATATCATTAAAGCCTCCTAATGTCTTAAACCCCTGAACCTTGCATCCCTGAAACCTTCTACATTGCACAACGCTTAAACCTTTAAATTGTTGAACCCCCGCAACCCTGAAACCACGAAACCCCCAAACCCTAAACCCCCACTTGCCAACCCCCCCATTGATTATTGATTTGTTTTTTTTATTTAAGTGGTGGGTTGGGGGAAAATGGGAGAGGGAGGGAATGAGGGGAAGGGGAGGGGAGGGGAAGGGAGGAGGGTCGGGGAGGGGAGGGGAGGGGAGGGGAAGGGGAGGGGAAGGGGAGGGGGGGGGAGGGCAGGAGAGGGCAGAGGAAAAGAGGTGGCAGGGGAGAGGGGAGGTGGGTTGTTCTGTGGTGTGGGGGTGGTGCGGCGGTGGGGTGGGGCATGGTGTGAGGGTCGTGTGGGGGTAGTGGTTTGCGGATGATGTCGGTGTTGTGGGGATCGCGTGGAGGTGTTGTGTTGTGGTCGTGTGGAGGTGGGTGTGTACAGAAGAAAACAGAAAAAGTATAATATATATATATATATATATATATAGCACTTTTCAGATCGAAAATTCCAATTTATATATATAAATTGGAATTTTCGATCTGGAAATTCCAATTTATATATATAAATTGGAATTTTCGATCTGGAAATTCCAATTTATATATATAAATTGGAATTTCCGAAATAAAAATTCCAATTTATATATATAAATTGGAATTTCCGAAATAAAAATTCCAATTTATATATATAAATTGGAATTTCCGAAATAAAAATTCCAATTTATATATATAAATTGGAATTTCCGAAATGAAAATTCCAATTTATATATATAAATTGGAATTTCCGAAATAAAAATTCCAATTTATATATATAAATTGGAATTTTCACGCTCTGTCATAGTGAAAACCCACCAAATCCACACAAAATATGAAAGCATGAAGGAAAGGAAGGAGGTGGAGGGGAGGAGAGAGCAGAGGAGTCAAGGAGGATGAGAGGGAAGTGGAGGTGGAGGGAAGGACAGGAGGGAAGGAGATAGGGGAAGGGAGGGGAGAGGGGAGGATAGGGAAGTGGAGAGAAGAGAGGAGAGGAAAGGGTAGTTGTTGTGTGGCCTGGGGGTGGGAGCGGGGTGGTGTGCGGGTGGTGTGGGGGTGGTGATGTGAAGATGGTGTGGTTGTTGTGGGGGTGGTGCGGAGGTAATGTAAGGGGGTGTGGAGGTGTGTGTGTGTGTGTGTAACACACCCATGTCACCTTCGAGCACACCCGCCAGCAAACGACGCACTGTCCGCCACCAGCCCACCCTCCCACCCACAACCCGCACACAGCGTGCTAGCCAGCAGCCCACCCTCCCACCCACAACCCGCACACACTTCCAAACCCACCCTAGAACCAGCAAGCAGCACCCAGGCACACGCCAACCCAAACCGTGAAATACTAACCCGAACCCTAAACACAAAACCCAAACACCAAAAACACCCAAATCCTAACTCTGTACCATAAACACTGCAGCACCAAACCAGAAACCACAAACCCCTGCAACACCGAACATGTAATCTTTTACACCTATGTAGCAACCGATGACCCTTAAAGCCCAAATCCTTAACACTAAACTTTCCAAACCCCAACCCGCCAACCCTAAACACCAAAACCCACACCCTGAACCTTGAACCCTAAACCCTTAAACCCAAAATCCTTAACACTATATAGCTCTTCTTAGAAAAGTAGAACCCGAAAGCCAAACCTCCAACCCCGTTAACCCAATACCTAAACCCTCAGGTATAAAGCCTTGCAACAAAGAATGCATTGCACGCACTTGTTTTTTCTAAACCGATCTCGCTCTTTACGGTACACTGCCGTTTCGGCACACACTTGAAGCCCTTCCTTACAATATGAACCTGTATTCTATTCACTTTTACATTATCGCTTGCTACATATGTCTATTTCGGGCCGCAAGTGTGCGCCGTTTGCAGCTGTACATGTTGGCGACGCCAGCGCCCTCCATCCGGCGACAAGCGCCCTTTTTGGCGGTACACGCCCTCTAGTCGTAGCCTCGGTTGCGCCACCCCTGCCACCGCTTGTTTTCCACGGCGGTGCGCAGGGGTTGGCTGAGCTCCATCCACTCCTGCTGCAACTCGTGCACCATGTTCTGATCCTGGTTGTCTATCGCTATGCACAAGCGCCTCAGCTTTTCAGCCCACGAGTTGTCGGGGATCCGCGCCGTGCGCGCATTCAACTCGCCCATAAAGCGCTCTGCCAGGTCTTCCAGGTCGGCACTCATCCCCTCGCGTTCAAACGCGCACAACAACACGGCGACCTTTGTGACAGCGCCCCCTCGTCGGCGATCCAAAGGAGTCCCATGCTCAGCCTCCTCCTGCACGTTCTCGTATCGCGCCTCGCGCGCCCCTCCTTTCCCGCCAGCACCGGCGCCCTTCCCGCCACGGTGGCTGCTGCTCGCTGCTTGGCTGCTGCTCGCTGCTCCAGAGCGCCCGTGGCCACTATAGCGGGAATCCTGAAATGGGTTAAATAGACATACATATATTTATATATGTATATCATTTAAGTATATATATGTATATAATATATATACAAAACATAACAAAAACACAAAGGAAACCAAGCATCCTCACTGTCATCCTCGCCATACCGGCGCCGACGGCGATCATCACGCCCTTCATCTCGTCGCTCAGGCCGGCGATCATCACGCCCCTCATCTCGGCGATCACGCCGGCGATCATCACGCCTGTCGTCTCGGCGATCGTATCGCCTGTCCCGGCGCTCTGTGTCGCTAGCTTCCTCCCGCCGGCGACGGCGCTCCTCCTGCGCCTCGCGCTCCCAGCGCTCCTGTGTTTCGCGCCACTCGCGCTGCCGGTCCGCGAACAGCTGGGCTTCCGCGTCGCGCTGGGCGCTGATCTGCGCGTGCAGCTCGGCCATCTCCTCCTGAAAGCGTCTCTTGCGCTCCTTGTCCTCCTCCTCCAGGCGACGGCATCGCGCCGCGTAGTCCTCCTCCAAGCGGCGTCTGCGCTCTTCGGACTCCGCCTTACGGCGCTCTCTTTTCTGCTTCTTACACAGTGGGTTGTTTGAAGATAGGTGAGATAGGTGAGATACTATCCAGGTTATAAACCATTTATAAGTGACTTAGGCATGGTCTAACTCGTTTCTATCTCTATCTCAAGATACTATCTTCGACGGAAGATGGCAAGAGATAAAAGACTTAGAACGGACTTAGAAAAGATAGCTGCGCCAACAGGGTGAAGAAGTAGTGTATGGCCAGAAGAGAAAGAAAAAGATAAAAAAAGATAAGAAAAGATAAAAAAAGATAGGAAAAGATAGGAAAAGATAAAAAAAGATAAAACAGAGATAGCAGGAGTATCAACAGACGGCGCTTTGACGAGTCCGTGCATGTAGTTTTTTTCGTGCACCTTCCGCGAGGCTTGAAGAGGCAATGCGAGACCAGACTGCACGATCCCAGAAGAAATGCTCTGATTGGCGTTTCTATACTGGCCGGCACAGCTTACGAAGTGCACGTCCTTTCTGCACACGTGGAAAACGCCGAGCCCTTCTTTGAGGCCAAAAACCCGCTGGAGCTTGCACACATCCTTCCTAAACCCAGAAGGCTTATGCCCGAAGCCTTGAATCTTGAAGCGGAGGTGAAACAGATTGCACGACACTCTCTTGCAGCTGTCCGCTGTGCCTGTATTGGGGGGTCCTGCCAGCAGCAGCAGCAGCAGCCTACTAGGTCTCAGAATCTGCCAGCGGCAAAAACCTTCTGGCCTCCAGGGTTGAGGCCCAGATGAGGCACTACACGCACTACCCTGCACTACCCGGCCCCAGCTGGCCCAGATTCGTAGAGGGCTCCAGGCACTACTCTCCTTCAGGCTCCCAAGGCCCAGGGGCGCACTACACCACACTACCTTCCGCCAGGGTCCCCAATAGGGTCCAGCAGCTCTTCTTCACTGCTTGGTCTGTGTGGCTCAAGTCCCGGCAGCAGCGTCTATAGGTCTTGTCCCCCAGCAGCTCAGACTCCTGCCGTGCCGGCCAAGCATGGCCGCTACAGACCCGAGCACTCGGGAGTGCCATCGTAGGTATAAGTACCTGAAATCAAGCCCTTCCTATCTTTCACAGGAGACGCAGCTGAATGCTGAGCAAGCTGGCAAGGAAACTGCCACCCAGTTGCTGGGCCTTGCGCCCGACGCTGATGCGCTTCCGGCTGCAAGCCTGCCTTCCGAAGCTCTGGCGGCAGGAGCTGAGGCAGTCCCTGGTGCACGGCTGCAGCTGCAGCTCACTCAGCCTTGCGGAAAGTGCCGCAAAGTTTGACGAGTTTGTGCTTTCCATGTTCGGTATCTTTTGAGCCTACTGGTTTTCCTTAAATCAGATAAAAAAAGATAGAAAAAGATAGAAAAAGATAAAGAAAGATAGAAAAAGATAGAAAAATATATTAAAAAATAAAACAGATTTAACTTATCTCACTTTTATCTTTTTTTATCTCTCCTTTCTCTTTCTTTCTCACCTAAGTCAAACAACCCACTGTGTATTCAGCTTCTTGGACTTCTCCTCCTGCGAGCTCTCCTCCTCCGCCGCCGACCGTGGCCGCTCTCGCCCCCGGGGCGCCTCCGCCACATTGGGCGCTTCCGTCGCAACCGCGCTCGGTGGCTTCTCTTGCTTTACAGCCACCGCCGGCTCCACAGCAGCCTTGGGCTCAGCCGCCTCGTCAGCCGCCTCGGGCTCACTCGCCTCCTCAGCCGCCTCGGGCTCCTCCGCCTCGTCAGCCGCACTCGCCTCCTCAGCCGCCTCGGGCTCACTCGCCTCCTCAGCCGCCTCGGGCTCACCCGCCTCCTCAGCCGCCTTGGGCTCACCCGCCTCCTCAGCCGCCTTGGGCTCACCCGCCTCCTCTACACGCTGAAGGTAGGCGTCGCAAGCGTCCACCAACTCCTGGGCGCTGCTGAGTGTGGCGTCAGCCACCTCGGGCTCCAGCGCCGCCGCCGGCTCCTCAGCCGCGTTGGGCTCCGTCCTCGGGCTGGTCACCGGCTCCTGCCAAGCATATATATATATACATACATATGTATATGTATACATATGTATATATATATATATATATATATACATATGTATATATATATATATGTATGTATAAAGAAAAAATATATAAATATATTTATCTCTCTATATATATATATACACGTACATATATGTATGTTTGTTTTTGTTTTTACTCGGCATGTGATACCGCGAATTTTAACCTTGGAACCGCATCCTTCATAAATGTAGCGGTTCAAGCAAGATCTATGTATACATGTCTAGAAAAAATAGATCCTTTACCCATGCAGCCTTTGAACGGTTATGATTCAGGGTGTCTGTCAACACTTTACATGGAAATGCCACTAGCACATTTATATATAGTATATATATATATATATATATTATATGTGTATATATATATTATATATATATATATAGGGTTTGAGTTTAAAGCCAAAAAAACCCGGGCTCCTCGGACTCGGTCGCAGAGTCAGCTTTCGCCGCCAAGGGCGCACTGCTAGCGGCAGCCTGCGCTTCACCACCAGCGTCCAAATCGCTCCTTTCTTTCTTTTCTGCATCTTGTGCACTCTTCTTGTGCTCGCTAAGAAAGCGCTCCTCAGCTACCGTCAGCTGTCGCGATGAACGCGCTTTTTCCAAGGACTCCGCAAACTCGTCCAGGATCTGCTTGTCCATGGCTCCGACGCCAGACACAAAAGGCGTTTACAGGCCTATAGAGTGCTGTGAAGTGCACGTAGTGCAAGTGGCCTATGCCTTGAAAGTTGTATGCAGCCTACAAAGTGCATGCTGTGTATCTACCGTCCATGCAGTGTTCGCCGGGAGTGCTGCTGTGCGTGTTGCTGTGCCTGCTGCCGTGCTGGCTGCTGTGCTGCGTGTGTGCCTGCGGGAGCTTGCAACGACGTCACGTGGCTACTCACCCACCGTCACTTGAAAGAGCGGCGTGGATCGACAAATGTTTGCTCAAGCTGAATGTTGCGCTTCGCAAATAGCACGGCTTTCAAGCATGTATATCCCAGTTATGTAAGCATTCATGCTATAACCATTTCATGACGTTGTATATATAGATATATACTTCCATCTTATGAAATCATGGCCCTTAAGCCGGTCCACTTCAAAAATACCTGCACGGGCTACATCAATGCCTGGTGCATGACTAGAATTGCTCCAAGGTCAAGCATGCATACATATATATAGATCTAGAAATGCCGCGCAGGCCCGTGTCCGTGCATGCCGCCCTGGCAGCGGAGTCCTCCGACGAAGAGGGCGCCCCTGAGGCGGAGTCCGAAAGCAGCATATCCACAATGGTGCGCACATCGCAATGCATGGACTGCGGCGGGGAGGAATCCCATGTCATGATTGTGCGCCCAGTGGAGTTTGGCCCCTCGGCTACGGAGAGCAATAATCTGTGCTGGGAATGCGCAGCGGCGCAGCTCTTGCGGTACAACAACCGCGAGTGGCCCGCCAACGGTGGTCGGAGCATACAATTGCTTGTTTTGGACGAGCCCTCCAGCAACACGGAGGATGAAGCCGACGTGCCGGAGCAGGCAATTGACGCCGTGTGCACATGCTGCACTCGCTTTGTCGTGTGCTTGGAGATGGAAACCGACCGGTTTCATCGAGAGCAACTTTGCTGGACATGTGCTGCCATTCGGTTTCTGCAAGCGCACACGGGACAAGTGACTTTCTCTTCCCAGCTGCGGTGCCTGTGAGCCTGCGTCCTTCTGCGGCTTTCGCAAACGTTTGGGCAAAACTGCCTCCGAAAGGGTGCGGTCCTCGCAGACAGTGTCATGCTTTGACAGCAAAAAAAAGAAAGGCATCATGTGCGTGCGGCCGTTCTTGTGTTTTAGAGCATGCAGACATTCGATCGAGCATTGGAAACATCTTTGCTTGTTGTGGTGCCGCGCTATATATAGCGGTTCGTGCGAAGAGAAGCATGGAAGCAGAGCAGCATCAGTGCAGCAGCATGCATGCACATGCTTTTAAGCCATGGACAATGAACATGCACACAACAAATGCAGCTTGACATGGGCATAAGCAGAAGTGCACTGAACATGCCCTGTACATAATATTAAAGAAAACTTGACACACTCGGACCTTGCGGGAACCATCATGGCGGCTGTGTGGGGCACAGCCGACTGTGTGCGGGAGATCGCAGAAGTCGCGGAGCTTTTGCGTGCGCGCAGTACCTGCGGGGGGGGCGCACCGGAAGAACTACGCCGAGGCCTTGTGAGCAATATAGTTGCTAAGTTGGAGCGCGCAGAAGAATGCGATGCGGGCCGACTGTACCAAGTCATTGGCCAGCATGCGAGTGTGCTCGGTGACTCCAAAGAAGTTTTGGCAGCAGCTGTGGACCAGCGCCTTCGAGGCGGGGCGCAGCCAGGGCACGCGAGTGCGTTCAAAGTGCAGAAGGTGCCGCAGTCGCTGTTACACTTGCAGAACTACTGCACGGAGCGCGACTGGGTGCGCTTGCTGCAGCCCGGGTCTGTGGGCGTGCACGCCTTGGCGCAACTTTTGCGGAAGCTCGGGGTGCAGTCCTTAAAGGAGGACACGAAGAAGCACGCAACCTGCGTGCTGGCGGCGTGGCGTGTGGCGAACGGGAGTGCTCCGCCGACGCAGGGAGAGCTCTTGCAGCTGGCGCAGTCCTTGACGCAGTCTTTTGCGGCTGACAAGACGGCGGCGGCGCCCGGGGTGGCGGCTTTGCGCTTGTACCCGAGCGACCCGGCTCACTTGAGTGCGGAAATGCACACCGCGCTCTTTGGCAGCGAGACCCCCGTGGCTAAGGAGCTCGCCTTCCTGGCGGAAGCTGTGTCTTTGTGCCGCGTGCGCAAAGACAAGACGCAGCGCGCCCCTGTGGCGACGCCGCTTCGGAATGCGGTCGACCCGCAAGCCCAGCTGCAGTTCATGCAGAGTTTGCAGACCTTCGCGGGCTTCCTTATGCAGGGGCAGCCGGGAGTGCAGACGCCCGGTCTGCAGATTTTCCAGAAGCCGCAGGGGGCTTTGCCAGGTGCAGAAGCTGCAGCACCTGGAGCTGCACTGCAGCTGGCCTTGCCGGGAGCTCCGCAGGGAGCTGGTTCGAGTGCACCAGCTGCAGGCCAGCTCGCGCTGCCTGCGCCGGCGACGCCGGCCGGTGCGCCCGCCGCAGCGCCCCCCGCAGGTGCACCTGCTGCAGCTGCTTCGCTGCCGCCCAGCGCCGTGCCGCCCTTGGGTGTGCAGCAAGTGCAGGAACGACAGCAACCAAGCGAGGCGCAGCAGCCTGCGGCCGCAGCTGGGGAGCCACAGCCTGCTGACAAAGACCTCAGCCTGGAGGAGTACGAGCAAAAGGCTTTCGAGCAGTTGGGTGCACGAGGTGCAGACCAGACAAAGGCGAAAGCAAAGGCCAAGGCCAAGGCCAAAGCCAAGGCCAAAGCCAAGGCCAAAGCCAAGGCCAAAGCCAAGGCCAAAGCCAAGGCCAAAGCCAAGGCGCCTGCAGCAGCGAAGGCGAAGGCCAAGGCGAAGGGTGCCCCCAGTGCGGCGGTGAAGAAGGGGTGCAAAAAGTGCAGAGGGAGCAAGTCGCAGTGCGCACAATGCTTGAACCCCAACTTCAACGGCGAGCGCTTGACGCGGGAAGAGTGGAGGGCATGGTACGGCAGCTGAGGGCGAAGCTTCGCCGTGCTCTGCTTCGCGCCAAAGGGAGGGCTCCGTGCAGCCGCTTTAGGGGAGGGGACTCAGCATGGACTGCCATGCCTGCAGGGGGCAAAAAAGGCTTTATCTGCATGCAGCCATCTCGCACGACATGCACCTGCCTTAAACAAAGCACTTGCTTGCAGAATCCTGACAAGCGCCATGCATGCATGTGCCTGCGATCTCAAGGAAGCTTCCGTGCACATGGGAAGCAACACGTGTATATATATGGGGCAAACGCTATAAGCAGCCAGAAATATTTTAAATTGATGCATGCATATAAGTTTATACATATATATGGGTTTAGGATTTTCACATACATAGCTGGGCAGTGTAAGAGCATGCATGCACATGATATATTAAGCTGCAGAACACATGCTTATAAGAAGCTCTTCGGAAAACATCCATGCCGTAGGTTTTGCACTGCTTTATAGAGCTCGAGGTAGCTGCCGGGAGGGGCGCTCCTGCAGCGGCATGGAGCGCCCAGCCAAGCTGCAGAAGCTTGACAACCTGCGGCGGAAGGTTCCACACGTGAGCAAATCTGCTTTGAGCGCCATCTTGGCGGAAGTGGCGGAGGAGGGCGTGCCCGAGTTGCGGCAAGCGCATCATATGCGGGAAGCAACGCGGCAGGTGTTGGAGCAGAGCAGCCTATATGGGCCCTTGCTGGACAGGTGCTGCTTTGTCAGCAAGAAAGGGCTCCAGCAGCCGGGAGCGCTGATGGTCAACGTGGCCTCCTTGGTCGCTGCTGCCTTCGGGCAGGGTGGGAGCTTCACACAGCTTGTCAAAACGACGTATGCCCGAGTGCCTTGCTCCATGGAGCGCCCATGGCAGTTCGTGTTGTACACGGACGAGGTGAGCCCTGGCAACGTGCTGGCTAATCGCCAGAGTCGCAAAATCTGGGTCGCTTACTGCAGTTTCGTGGAGTTCGGTGTGCATTTGACCCAGGAGCCCGCGTGGCTGGTAGCGGGCGTTTTCCGCAGCGACTTTGTGCAGGGGCTGAGTGCCGGCATCGGGCAGGTGGTGCGAGTCATGCTGGAGCGCATCTTTTGCGAAAAAATCTCGCCACAGACCGGTCTCGTGGTGAAGGACCCGGAGGGCGAGCCTTTGCGGCTGTTTTTCCGCATGGGCATGTTCTTGCAGGATGGCGCCGCCCAGAAATTTGTTTTTGGGATTAAAGGCGATGCTGGGAGCAGGTTTTGCATGCTGTGCAAGAATGCGTGTGCTTTCAACAGCAGCAGAGACATCCATGGAGAAGAGGATGACGAAGTCTTCTCGGGCGTGTGCGACTTGCTGCGCAGGAGCGACCTGGCGCTGTGCTCCGACGCGGAGGTCTTCGAGAGCGTGGACCGCTTGAAGAAGCGAGCCGACGAAGGCTGTTCCAAACAGGACATGGCGCGCTGGCAGCAGGCCACTGGCTTCAATCTGGAGCCGCATGGCTTGCTTCTGGCGCCGAAACTGCGCAGCGTCTTGCGTCCGGTGTCGCAGTACTGCCATGACTGGATGCACGCCACGTGCGCAAACGGGACGCTGACGCTTGTGCTTTTTTTGGTGCTGCAGACCATGCAGCAGGCGAAGGTGCCGGCGTGGCAGATGCTGCTCTTCCGGCTGCATACATGCATGCTTTCTATATATGTTTGAACGACATGCAATCTACCTACAATTTTTTTTGGTTTGCATTTTTGCATCTTCTGCAGGTCCGACTATGTGGGGCAGTGGACATTGCCGCGGGCGACCTCCATGCCGCACTTGAGCGAACTGTTTCAAAAAAAGAAAATGGAGGGCTCCATTGCAGCCAAGAAGTTCAAGTGCACGGCGAGCGAAGCCTTGGCGCTATATCCCATCGTGCGCAGATGGCTGCGAACCGGTCCCATGCAGCGTGGGCAGTGCATGCCGGCTTGCGAGGCTTTTTTGCTCATGGCCGAGGTCGTGGACATGCTGCATGGTGCGCAGAGGACGCAGCCCATCTCGCGAGTGCAGCTGCTGCATGCTGTGGAGCAAGCGCTCGTGGGCTGTGTGCAAGCCGGTTGGGAGCACAACATGATCAAGAAGTTTCATTGGTTGCTGCACATGCCGGACACCCTGGAGCGCTTCGGGCAATTGCCGGCCTGTTGGACGCTGGAGCGCAAGCACCGCATGGTCAGTCGCTATGCCTCCACAGTGCGGAACACGCAGAAATACGAGCAGTCCTTGCTGGAAGAGACCTTGGCGCACGACCTTGCGGTCTTGCGGGCGCCAGGCTTGTTCGCGCAGCACTGCGATCTCTTGGAAGAGCATGACTGCTCCAAGAAGCTTCTGGAGCACCTGGCTGCTGAAGGGCTTGCGTGCGAGGGTGCTACCTGCAGCGGTCGCGCGCGCCTTGCTAGTGGGCAGGTGGCTTGCTTGAGGGATGTGGTGTTGAGCACAACTGGTGCTGCTGGCCAGGTGCATGCGTTTTGCAGACTTGGGGGGCAAGCTTTCTGCCTGTTGGAGCTGTACGAGCTGAAGGAGCACCAAGCACAGCTTGAGAGTGCACATTGGACACCCCTGGGCCAAGGTTTGCTGCAGCCGTTGAGCGAAATCCGCTGTTGTCTCACCTACGCTCGCAGAAATGCGATTGTGACTGCACTGCTGCCGCGAAGCTGAAAACATCCGATTGCCAACAGAAATCACTTTGCATCCGACGTGAATCTCAGGAATATCATTATGCGCACATCAGAAATTCTATACTGTACATATAAAATATTCCTGGCTTTAAAGCCATATATAACCATCGTAACCCTTTACATAACCCTTTACATAAACCCTTGCATAACCACTTATGTAACCATTTATGATAACCACTTGGCAACCCTTTACTAACCTCCGTAACCCATATAAGTCACTAGCTAAAACCCGGTCCATTAAAGTAGAGCCAAGCCAACAATGTCATCTAGCGTAGAATGCGTGCACTTGCTGTGCGGCAACTGGAGGCCACGCATGCGCAGACGAAACCGGGATCGGCACGTCTCCAAAAAACTCATCTTGTCCATGAAGGATGTAAGAGGACGAGACACCAACAAGGTCTTCAGAAAGCGGGCTGCTGCGTCAGGCTCCGACAAAAGGCCCATAACTTTGGCTACACGAATCTGTTGCCGGAGGCTGGGATTCATATCTGGGTTGTCTTCATCCAAAGCTTGAAGCGCCACAAGGTCTTCCAGACTATCTGCGGCATCTTGCTTGCAAAGCCCCCAAATGTGCTTCAGCAAACCCCGGATGACCATGCCACGTGCCACAAATGTGCAAGCTTCATCAAAGTTTTTCCACCTGTAAAGCAAAGGACAGGCAAACAGATGGGCGAAGAGCCCATCCAGGACAAGGCGCATCCTCTTGCGGAAGTCCCGCGCACTCGCGCAACATCCAGGTTCACAATAATGGCGCAGAGGCTCTCCATGTTCCAATGGCTGACACCAGTCCGTATTCAGCATTTGCAATGTCAACGCAACCTGATCTTCCGTCAGCCCCAAGGAACACTCTCGCAGCAGCAATGTGTTGCTTGCAACCTCTTGTTCCGTGCTGGGTGGCAGAGAAGCCACCTCGTGTCTCACAGCAGAACGCGCAAAAGAAGCCAGCACATTGTCAAGTCTCTGTCGGAACAGAGTGCCTCTGAATGCATTAGCCATGCGAACAAGGCCTGGGGTCAGCACCATAATAATTTATAAGTTTATAGTTTATAATTTATAATTATTATCTATAATTTATAAATTATTTTAAAGTTTAATACTACCCTATTACTTTACTACGAACTAGGACTCGGACTATGACTATAACTTGACTATAACTATAACTTACTACTACTGACTACTGAATACTTACTTACTACTTACTGCCCTGCCAATATTCAAACTCCGACTGGACTCACTGCAACAAGCTGCCTGTGGCCACGCCATCCACCCTGAGAATCTGAGGCTTTTTTGCTAGTGCGCTTTGGTGGTGATTGCAAAATGAATGGGCGAATGCTGTCACCGTGCCATCACAGCCGACCTGCCGCCGCTGCAGCACACGCTGTTGCTCCAGTGCCAATGCTGATACATTTGCGGACAGTGCATCTGTGCCTAGGCTGCTAGGTGTTCCAGGACTCATCTACTTGTCATCTACCAACTACCGACCACTGATTCCACTGATTCAGCAACTAACTCACAACTAACTTTCGACTTTGACTTTAACTAACAAACTGGCACTGGCACTGACTAAACGCTAAGGCGCGACTATGACTCTGTGAACATACCTGAAACCTCAAGTATTAACTATTAACTGTAGCCCCCGCAATGTGTCCAGGTGCAAGTAAGGACGACCTTAAACGGGATCTCTCGAAGAATGCTTCCCAGAGCCTCGCCCCCAAGGTGTGCAGGCGGAGTCTCATCTCCGGGAAGCATCCATTTCCCAACTCGGTGGAGCAGGGTCGCAGCGTTCGCCTGCAGCGGCACATGGATGGTTGAGCATCAGTTTGCTCGATCTGGTTGATCTAGTCAAGCTAGGGATTTGACAGGAGGAGCTTGAAAAATGGGAATCGGAATGAGCAGTACCTAACGGATTGGGCATTAAGCTGCTGTCACCCACAAAACAAAAAGCATGGCATGGACCGTGAATCCCCCGCCTTCGGCATCACTTGCGAAGGTGCAAAAAGCTGCACAGATTCAACAGCATCAAGGGCAGATTTCCGACTGTCACTCCGACGGGCAACAGCCCACTGCAACATGCCCAGGAGCGGCTGAACTTTACGCCGACCGGTACGGCCCCTCTTTGAGCCTGTTGCACACAGGCCGCCCTCCTCTTCCTCCTCATCCCGCTCTTCCTTGCCGCATTCCTGTGTGTCATCCTCTTCCGTGTCTGCTGCCTTTGGGGGCCCAGTTTCCGGGCTAACATATATGTTCGTGTCGTCGAAGATACGCACAAAGATGGTGTGAACAGGTTTCATGTCCCTCAACCATCGCATGAAACTGTTCTTCTGCGCAACCATATGAGAAAGAAGCCCAATGCATTTGTAGCGTGACAAACCGCTGTCCTTCCTCGTTGTACCTGCGTAACCACTGATGTTGCCCTCGTGGTCGAAGAACTGAAAGTACTCCTGCCTCGGCTTCTACAGTTTGTTGGCTTGTTTGTTGGAGTCTCAACGTACAGCAATCCGGTTTAGGGTTAAGGAGTTTAGTTAAGGTCAAGGTTAAGATAAGGAGGCTTGATCACTAGCACAGAATGGGGGGGGAGTGTCCTCAACTAAGTTCGGCTAAAGTACACATTCCTTGTCGCGCTTGAATTTTGGCCCCGTCCAAAATGTCCAAAGACGACCCGGGTAATGTCTTGAGCTGCTGCAACAGTCTGGTGTTTGTGTTCTTCGGCAGCCTTCTGGATTTGTTTGCGAGCAATGCCGGCCGCAACTGATGCCTGGTGCCCTTTTCCACGCGGACGAACAGCATCACGAGCTCGGCGGGCATCTGCCTCTGATTTGTTCGTGCATCACAACACTATTATAGACTAGGACTCGGACTAGAACTAGAGCTTTACCGGATCCCGGATACCCAGAAAAGATAGATAGATAGATAGATAATAGTAGTCAGGTAGCCAGCCATCACTTCACACCGACCACAGTTACACCGAATCACTGAAAGACACCAGACATGAGGTGGATTTGTCAATGTTCAATGTTACCAGTTTGTTTTATTTAATTTAATGGTGAACATTAAACAGCTACAGTTACAGTACAGTCACTGTACCACAAGACGGGGAAACTTCCGAACCCTAAACCCTGCCCGAATTGCCTAAATCCCTAAAACCCTGCACCCTTGACTGACCCTGAAGCCCCAAGCCCAAACCCTGCCAGACTACTGCAACTGTGGTCTACTGCTAAATACTGCGGTCCACGACCGTTATCGCAACCTCACCAAAAGGCCTCTGCAACAACTCCATTGCCAGCGTCGGCAGCTGGCGTGTTCGATGCTGCAGCAAACCGTCTCCACATTGCAGCGAAATGATGCTGCACTTGGAACCAGCACGGCGTGGGCGTTAGTCCAGGGCGGGCTGCATAGGTTCTATGACATCACTGCATATTCACATTTCATATCACAGTCACTGTCACCGTCACTGATTGCCACGCGTTGCTCACTATTCCTACCGGCACTACTAGCTGCTGCTACCGTTGGATTTGTGAAAGCACTGCCCTAGCAGCTCGCTCGCACTCCATGCCATGCTGGAACCTACAGCGGCGACGCTTCTGCTGTGACAGTTGCACCTGACTGCCTGATGCCACTGATGACTGATGTCGTGTCTGCAAAGGCAAATGAACGGCAGTCCGTTGTTCCCTGGCCTTGTAGACAGCGTCATCCGAGATGTTGGCATGCACCTTCTTCAAGCATCCCGTGACGTTCTCGAGCACGGCTGTCCTGGGATAGGCAAAATCCGACATTCCACGGTCACCCTATCAACCCCTTCAGCCCAGGCACGCTGGTCTAAACGTTGATATAAACCTGGATGCCTCGACGAAAGGAATGGCGTTGGGCGCCTTGGCTCCAACACAGTCAATGATTTGCTGGCTTTACTTTACACATGCGCTGCCTATACTGCCTGCTGCAGAATCAACAACGCAGACTGGCTGCTATCTGACCGCCGGGAGCGAACATTGTCGACACAGCATCATGTTTGAATCTTGCATTGTTCTCTTGGGAAAATATTTTACACGTGAAGCCGCATATGTATATGTCGATGTCCTGCGCCACAGGAAAACCTTCAACGAATTCCGAACTCCCGTTAGCATACAAGTCCGACAAGTCCTCCTTCACCGCAGCGCACTCGGTCTTGTGCTTGTCGCAGTAGCCACCTGTCCTGCAGACATGCGATCGAGCCGGACCAAGCATGTTTGTGCGCAGCCTAGCAGCCTATAGCCTGGCTCAACAATGCAGTTTGACCGCGCGCGCAAGGCTAAAGGCTAAAGGCTAAAGCCATGTGGTCCTTGCAGATATCATATCCGAGAAGCAATGCCGGACATTGTGATTCGCCATGAACCACTTCCGCGTAGCAGCCTCTCACACAAGATTCCGCCCCCGCTTAATGCTGCAAAACAAGGCCGAGTCAGCATGAACCTTTCAACCCAGCTAGGCTAGATTAAGATTCAGGTTGATGTGGTTGCACAATTGGGTGCCAAAGTGCATGTCTCTCGGAAGACACAACTTCTTTGAAGTTGTGAGCCCCAACCAGCTCACGCAAAGCGAAGCTTGGCGCCCCGGTGCCACTACACGCAGTTGCCAGTACCTCAGGACTCTACGAATCTACGAACGCTTTAAGCAGCAGGACATGACATGCAAACCGCGATGATGGTGCTGCCCGGGCAACCAAAGGTACACCCAAAGTGTCGTGCAGATTTCGCAGCGGCACACCAGCTGATGCAGTCAACCGTCTAGCCCACGTGGTGGAAACGTAACCATTTGCAGCACCCCGCGCACCGCGCGGTGAGCGTGATGCGTCCCTGGGTCTTACGGAACTGCAACGAGAGGAATGACTTACTCAGAAGCTCTGCATCATGCATGAATCAATCATACACACCTACTTGCAGCTGCTGCGATTTTGCAAACAAGGAACCTATCCAACCTCGAATCATCTGGATCACTAAAGGAATCTGGATCACTCGGCACCCAATCCGCGTACAGGCTCTGTATCGGCATGGCCGCGCACCTTCTACTTCTACAGCCTCACTCAAAAGACTCACAGTCTTTAGTCTCGATCAGCGACCATGAAGAGTAGCAGAAGCTTAATTGCTTAGGTTACCTAGGTTGGTTTCAGGGTGACAATTTGCTCGGGCACTGGTTTTGAAAAGCTCCTTGCAATTCGAAAGCAGCTGGATAGCAGCGGAGGCCTGCTGAGGCACTGGGATTATTGCGACTCAACGCAGCTCAAAGGCAACGGAAGCCTGCTTGCGGAATGGTTTCGCAAGGCTGATGGCTGAGTTTAAGAATGATCTAATGCTGTTTCCATGGTTTAAGGCGAGGCAACAACAGCTGAAATGCAGCAGAGTCCTACTCAGGGACTGAGTTCTGAGAGATTGTTGCGACGCCAAAGCACCACAACAGCAACAGAACCCCGCTTAGAGATGGTTTCGGAATGATTTTTCGAGCTCCAAAGCAGCCCAGCAGCAACACAAACCTGTTTAGGGATGGGTTTCCGAAGGGTTATTGCGGCTCCAAAGCACCGCAACAGCAATTTAACTCCCCTTTGAGATGGCTTCAGAGCAACTCCAAAGCAGCCCAACAACAACATAAACCTGCTTGGGGCTGGGTTTTCAAAGGATTATTGCGACGCCAAAGCACTACAACAGCCTCGGAACCCCGCTCAGAGATGGTTTCGGAATGGTTTTTCGAAGTCCAAAGCAACCCAGCAGCAACATGAACCTGCTTAGAGATGGGTTTCCGAAGCATTCTTGCGACGCCAAAGCACTGCAACAGCAACAGAACCCCGCTTAGAGATGGTTTCGGAGTGGTTTTTCGAACACCAAAGCAGCCCAGCAGCAACATAAACCAGCTTATGGGATTGGTTTCGGAAGGAATATTGCGACACCTATGCACCCGAACAGCAACATAAGCCTGCTTAGGGATGGGTTTCGCAAGGGTGAAAATCATTCAAAAACAACTCAGCAGCAACAGAAGCCTGGTGAGGGATAGGTTTCAGATGTGTTTTGCGACCCCAACAGCAGCATAAGCCTGCTCAGGTACCGAACTTAGAACGTTTATTGTCAATTCTTGCAATGGTCAAGCAGCTCAAGAGCAGCAGCTGTCAATGGAGAGATTGATTTTGCACGGGTTACCGGACTAGACTTAAGCCTTCAGTGGTGCTTGGCCAGGAATAGACGAACATCCGGAATGGTCAAAGTAGACTTAAGCCTTCCGAGGGCTTCCCAATCTATAAGGGTACTATGATAGTGTAGGAACCTGATTAAGTCACCTTGTCCCTTTATTAGGGTTCCTTATCTGAATCCTACTAGTTTGGGGTTAGACGCCCAGGGTTTCTTAATCAGGTTCCTACGTTAGACATTACCAAGAGGCCTTGGAACTCTCGGAATTGGCGTTGCTTGTTAGTCCGCGCTTGTGTGTGTGTGTGTGTGTGTGTTTCCCTTTTGGGTCTTCCCTGTATATAAGGCCAGGGTACACCTCCCCGCTGCTCCGCTGCATGATATCGCCGAAGTTTGCTTGTCCATCCTTGTGCACCTGATACGCTTAAATGGCTCCTCCTACTTGCAGGTTCATGGGACTTTGTAAGTAAGGTTATAAGTACCTTAATTGGGGTTATAAGCAGTTATAAGTATAGTTACCCGTTCTTATAACCCTCGTTACTAAGTCCCATGATCCTTTAAGTAGGGTTCGTTGAGGAATTTGGGTTTAGGGTTCAGGGGCTCCCTCAAGGGTCCTTCTGGGGTTCCTTCAGAGGGTCTTTTTGAGCACCATGATTTGACTGGACATCCCCGCCTTCTTTGAAGTTTGGGCTTTAGCCTTCAGGGGCCTTTTTAAGGCTTGTTCAGGGTTTCCTATAGGAAGAGCGCGCGTGGTTGGGGCGGTAAGGGTTCCGTGAAGTTGTTTGGGGTCACAGTCTAAGGCTTCAAGTAAGGATTTTCCAGCAGGATCCAGGATTTTTTCTCGGGATTGCTATAACGAGGGTTCCCCTACGTACCGTCACAGGAAACTTACCTTCGAAACCTGACCCTCATGACTTCGTGGGTGCTACTGCTCCTTATAAGCCCTTTCCAGGCCTACTCGCAGTCAGAGACCTACGTAACTCTGTGTCTGGGGGCACTATCGCGGTCGGAATACTCCACCCAAAGGCTCCTATGTACTGTTATGGGGGATACTCCCCTTAGTCATCATAGTAATTCCTAATATGGAAACCCCACATTCTACTATATCGGTACATGCGACCCTTTGGGCATAATCATGTCCCCCTAGTCCGTGCACAACTCAACCATTCTGCCCCCCCCGAAACCCTCTTCAAAGGCCTCTGCACCCAAACACCCTAATTATTGGGACCCTTAAAGACTTATAGAAGCTTTGAAGAAGCCTTTTGTGTAAGGGACCCCTATAAATCCCTCAAAGGACCCCTTGAAGCCTGCAAAAAAACAGGAGAAGTCAGGGTTTAGGGTTTAGCTGTCAGACCCCGATAGAACTTTTACAACCTTGAGGTTCATGATGGTTTAAGGCTTATAGGTCTTAGGGCTTAGGGTTTAGAGTTTAGAGCTCAGGGTTTGCGTTTTTACTTCGGCCCATATCTTATAGAGCCCTGTTGTAGATACGAATAACCCCGCTTAAAGAACCCTCAACGTTCCGTAAAAGGATTCTGTAAAGGATAGGAGCCCTTAAGCCCTTAACGGCATCCCTCTACCGGTCACCAGACCTTGCAAAATCCCTTACTTAAGCAATATACCTTGCATTATGTATGGTAGGGTCCCTCTTGTGATTTAAGGTATGCATGTATGTATATATATATATATATATATATATATATGTATGTATGTGTATATATATATATGTATATATGCACACCTTAAATCAGGGATTTTGGATGGTCGGGGTAGTCTGGGGATCGGGCATCCGACGCCATGTCCCATGAACCCGCCGGAGGCCCCGTTGGTTGGCAAAGGCCTCTTGGCGGCTTAGCGCGTGTAAGGATTTGCTGGGCCGAAGGTTTGGCAAAGGCTCCTGGGGCTCTTTTCGTATGTATGGGCGTCAATGATTCGAACCAATTTTGGGTATGTTGTGATATAGGTGTAACATTACTGTGGAAGTACTAGTATTCCTAATTATGTTGGAAGGGCTGGCTGGCATAAGGGCTGAACGCATGTTTAGTCTGGGCTTCTAGATCAGTTTTCGTTTCGAGTCTCGCGGACCCCCCCTTGCTCATCAACATCCTCGAATGTACGGTTTAGGGTTTAGGATGTGGACCTAAATTAATATCCCCCTCCAACCCTAAACCCTAAACCCTAAA